ATATATATATATATATATATATATATATATATATCAACCATTCGATTGACTAAAATTTCACATTTTTGTTTCATATTCTTGTCAATTACGTAATGAACGTGCAAAATAACTAACAATTATTTGAACGGCATCGATCTCGACCGAACAATGGTTATCTCTTTGATTACGTTTAACTCAAAGAATTCGGAATAACATATTAAAATCGTTATTTTATCATCTGTTAATAAATTCGCTTGTAAAGTGTGATTAAAAAGTAAAAAGTAAAAAAAAAATTTGTATTACCGTGCGAAAGTTCAATTAATGCCGTTTATAATAATTTTACGTAATTTTAATTTATGACTCAATGCAATTCGAAATTCGTTTTAAATTGTATCTTGTAATTCTTTCAAAATATTTTGCTAACGATACATGTAAAATTATTCATTTTAGTATGCTACATTGTAAACACGATTATGAGTTGCATGTTTTTGTATTGTGATTTAGATAATTTTTTATTTATTTATTTTTTCTTTTTCTTTTACATTCTTCTTGATATGCATCGTATTTTTACATAAATTTTTAGACTCCATATTTGGATGCTCAATTACAGGCAATGCTATTTGTCAGACAGATTATCACGCATAAATATGAATAATAAGTATTAGGGGGTTGGAGCTGATCTAACCAGAGACGAAAATGTGAGCAATAAACGTACCTACGTTAATAAGCATAATAGTAAGGCTTAGTACGAGTAATTATACAAATTGCAGCAATTAAAGGGTGATTTAATTTGATTTAATTTTTTTTTATTATTTTTTTTTTTTATTTTTCAACATATCACAAATGAAAAGTGTTATAGTTTGTTGTATGAGTATGTATTACACTTGTCGGACATTTAGCAAAGGCCTACACATGTCAGGCTCGCCATTATAATCGTTCAATTATTTTAGTTTTTAATTGTAAATACAAATAACAATTTCAGTTCTGGTTAAAGTGCTGCAATTTTATTTTGCATTTAAAATAGAGCGCCTTCTTTATTTGTATGTGTCTAACAAAATTTTACAAATTATTTCATTGTGAAGTACATACATTAAATATTTTCGTCTTTGCCACATCTCGTAAGAAACTATTTTTATATGAATTATGTATAAAACAAATTAAAATAAGCACTCTTTAAATTTCTTTCAAGGGCAAAATGCGCAGCAAAATACAAAATAGCCGTATTGTACGAGAAATTATATCAAATGCAATTTCTGTGCTGTATTTTGATAAATCTAAATTTTTTTTATATCTAATTTATACAGCTCTTATCTTTATTTGTTTTAATCAATTAAATTATGAATATAAAGATTTAAAGGCAAATAAGAACAATTACTTATAGAAATTGTTATGTTACGAAAAATTTTCAATTTAACTTCAACGATATATATATATATATATATATATATATATATATATGAATACAAAAAAAGAAATAATAATAATAATGATAAAAACATTGCAACAGTTAAAAACTGAGTAGTGCAAATGTTTAATATATGAAATCCTGTGAAAATAAATAGGACTTAGTCTTTTCATACTTTACTTAATCATCAATCTAATAATGAAATTAAAGCCAATAATATACCTATTTATATTTATTTAAATATTTAAATAGCTTATTTAAGTTAACAGTAAGTACTTTGAGGAATATCATAACAATATTAAAAATGTATCTTATCTATTGTAAAATGTTATAAATAATTAGTGGAAGATTTTAATTTAGGGCAGGAATTATAATTTTTTTATGGGGCATTATTCATCTTTGCCTGTTGTGTACCACGTAGCGATAACACATCGAAAAAGTATTTCATTAACTCTGTATTGCAACGATTTACTGTTTTACAACACTTTGAACAAGTATGCCGTAAGTGCATTAAAAAGATTTTTCATGGACTAATTTTAATAGGCAGCATCGATATATTTGTTTAAAGTGCGGTATTCCAGAAGATCGGTGAATTATGTTTTAACATCGTTTATTGACGTGCAGTTTCAGATGACAGTTGGTATGGTAAATTAATCTAAAATATTAGACGTCATTAAAGATAGACAAGTATTGAAATGCATAATAAGTGCATTAAAGTATAATATGCTGCAGCTGCTACGATTTTATTTAAAGCTTCAATAATAACGACGAGGTTTAATCTACCAGTTATAATACAATGATTATAATTTAATAATATGCCATCTGTTCTTTTTACTGTATTCGTTCGAATAAGCAAATTACATTTTAAAAGTAATTTTATGAATAATTGGTTTGCTTTGATCTAAAATGAATAGTGAAATTATGTTAATATACATATTAAGACTTAATTAATTATGAAAGATGCCAATTCTAATAACGAGTAAGTTAATAAATATCGTTGCTAAATAGCGTATTTGGTAACTTTATATTATTGTACTTTTTTCCATTAATTGTTTATAAGTATTCGATAAAACCATTAATAGAGAATGTCATTAACTAATTGTTTCCGTTGTGATAAATATCGTATTTCTTTGTCAAAAAATTAATTTTATTAGATGTTTCTGAAAACTTTTATAATTAATTTTTTAAAACCCTTTATATGTCTGTGTGTGTGTGTGTGTGTGTGCGTGTGCGCGCGCGCGCGAGCGTGTGTTGCGTGTGTGCGTATGTGGGCGCGTGTGTTTATCTTTTTTCTTTGTTTTTTTTTCTTCTTTTGAATGAGTGGATTAACTGTAATACTGATATTCTTATATAGGATTAAAAGTATTTTTATTTCATTAAATTTTCCCAAAAAAATGGTGTTTTAAGAACATCGTCCATTTTATGTGCCAATTAATATTTATCAATTGAGTTTCCAAACAATAGTAAAGGAATATAAAAAATCCACCTGATTTATTGATAATATTAATATCTTTGTACAACGTATAAAGTACGCGAAGTGCCTTATATCAATAGCTGTAATATTTTATTTAACCATTTAAGTTTTACAATTATCATTCCAAAAAATTTAGAGAATAATTTAATCGCTACTAATTCAACTGAAAATGAAAAACACTTAGGTGTTTTTACCATTATGTACATAAGAACAGAGTATTAAAGCGTATGTAAAATTTTCTGTGAATTTCCTTTGTCTCTAACAGGAAAAAAAAGCATTTTATTTCCAATGTTTTTTTGCTAAGTTAAAGATGCATAAACTTTTATTTTACTTAAAAGTACTGTAATTAGAAAGAATAACCAAATGTAAATAAGCTTCTCGAGAATGCTTTCACGTAATATTTAATTTTGTTTTTCATCAAAAGATCTTACAATTGATAAAGTCACATCACTGCTGTGCTGTGAAATAAAATACCTTAATTGCACTTAAGGTATTCGTTCAACAGCAAACATCTTGAAAGATGAGATGATTTATTTATTTTTTTTATTTTTTATTTATTATTATTATGTTTTTTTTTTTTTTTTTTTTTTTTAATATACCGTAGAATAATAGTTTAAGGTAAGTTAGGAAGACTTTTAAATAAATGCATAGCAGTGTAATAATATAAATAATTAAATTGGAAGTTCAAAGTGTGTGATCGATGAACTTTTGTAAATATCCTTGGAACATTTTTATTCTTAACGTGTATGACTGCGATAAAAAATTTTAGCATAAGGGTAATAAACAGCGACATGATTATTGCTGTATTTAATTTTTATACCTACAACAAAACATACGTAAAACTCAAATAATATCTTATCGATAAGGTAAAATTCGTTTTAATTTTCAGCATGTTCTGATTAATATATTTGTTTAGTTTTATTGCTTTTAATGTACATTAAAAAAAAATTTCAACATCTTTTAATTTATTTTTACAAATATATTTACATCGACAATTTTTCAAAATTATAAATAATCGTACGCATATATGTTATATATTGAAGAAGACTGCGATTTTTAATCTACCTCAGATTCTCATAATTATATTTACTAGATTTTTAAATTTGTACATACAAATGCGTCTGGTGGATAATTATTTTTAATTTATTTGAAAGACTGATGATTCATCATTGTAAGATAAGTGTGGTCGGACAACGCACTATTTAAACATGCGCAAGGTCCTACCTTTGTACCAAAAATTTTCAAATGGGATAATAAGTCACATTTCAAATATTATGTATTAAACAAATCAATAAAATACGTTCAATACTTTTTTTTAATAACTTTTAAAGGTTTTACATTATTATCACATAACTAAGCTTTAAACAAAATTTAATTTTAAAATATATATATATTTCATAAAATGCATATCCTATAAACAAAATTAAATCCATAATCATGATTCTAAATGTAATTGAAGACTAGATAATGTAATGTTGCACAGTTTGACAATTTAATAAATATCACACGTCAATCTTCTATTATTACTGCGAGTGGAGATTGCATCTTGAAATTTTCTTCTGGATCATACAATTGACATGGTAAGCATGACCGCATGGAAAGAGAGCAATACCGTTATCACCTAATAGGACTGGAGTTTGCAGTGATAATGTGCAGCATGGACATGTCAATGCAGCTATATTGTATCGCATACCCCAATGGTGAGGACCGGTACCAAACAGCTCTTTACTTATTGGTTCCTCCAAGTCTTTTTCAATAGTATTTACAACGTTTTCCAAAACCTTAAATAAATTAGAATATTAATTTAATAATAATATATGTCTTGCATAAAGCATCAAGAATGTAAATAAACTTGGTTTTTTTTTTTCTTAATACATAACGACTTTTTAAGGCTCATCGTTGATACGTGCGTACATACATGTATATAAACACACGATATAACAATGTATATCAACTCGTGTTGGTTATTACCTCAGGAGAACAAATAGAGTTGAATTCCACGTCCGAATGATCGAGTTCAATCGCATGCTTCACCCCATGATGTTTTAAGATCGTTGAAAATATGATAGATTGGTATATACTGGAAAAGATTTACAATGTTACAAGGTATTGTTATGAAAAATTAATATATATATTTACCTCTTGTCAAAAATGATTTGAGGTAAATTTTCATGCATTTTCAAAAGAAATGTCATGGCTTTGTTGGGTCCTTGTTTTTTAACAATTAGATTTGTAATACCAGACCAATCGATAGAGAATTCTTTGGATGATACGTGGTCGTTATCATAAGGCTTCGAACAATTCACGCAGCGTCCATTTTTAATATTCTCAAAACATTGCGCTGTCAGTTTCCATTGATCTTTACTCAGCGTAGGTAAAATTATTGAGAGAATAAAGTTATCTCTGGTTTGAAGGCACTGTTTTAGCAAAACGTCTGGAAGGCATTGCTTAGTATATCCTTTAAAAGACAAGTAATATCTCCACATGTAAGGTATTTGGTTACAGATTTGTAAACACGTATTGTCGGATTCATTTAATATTTTATCTAAGAGAACTTTTCCAATATCATGGAATTTTGGTTCCGATGACTTATTCATACCAGTGCCAAAAATTGGATAGGGAAATTTACAACAACACTCGATATATTTTGACGAATTAATATCTATAAAAATTTTGACTAGGTGCGCTAATATTTCTTGATGATCTATTGTGGAAAGTAACTCAACGGACAAATTGTCTAGTAAAGTATTTGAATAGTGAAGTTCCGCGGAGCGAATAACTTCAAATAAATAACTCTGCAATTCGTTTGATACTTCGTACTTTTTCTTAACACTGTCTAAAGTATTAACAAATAGTTGCAAAACTTCTCCCAATTCCTCCTTAGTTATATCGGATTTCATTTGTGAGCTCATTGATATATACAATGATTCTAAATCAGCTTGTACGTTACACATAGTCTTTTGTAAAGAATTGACCTCATTCGATTTGACTTCTTCTTTTACATTATTTTCAATTTTCTCGGATAGGCCATTTTCCGCTTTAAAATCCTCGCAATCAAGATTCGATTTCCTCGTTGTGTCATTTGTATTTAACGAGGTGAATAAATTCTCTAATTCATCAATATTTTGCTGCCTATGTTCGTATCCTTTATTGATATTCGAAATCAATTCATTTTTCGAATTCTTATTGCCAGAATTTACAATAACCATGCCCGATTCGAGTTTTATCGGTCGACTATTTCGATGAGATTTTATCAAGGAAATTATTGGACGAAGTTTGTCGGATAGGTCCATAGTTTGCTTACTGTCCATGTTACGAGACTCTTCCGCAATGGAGTTCATTAGTTGTGGTCTGAGCGTTTGACATATATCTAAGCATTCTTTGTAGAACTTTCTATCGTAGAGCTTCGAAATTAAAGAATCCACAGATTCAAAAGTTAGACAGTGAAAAACATTGGAAGATGTCATTAGATAAATCTTATCGTTTATAATATGTGCCATAAATGTATCTGGAAATTCATCGTTCCATAATATAACTTCGGCGTTACCTGGATCAAAGACATACAGTCCATTCGGCGTGTATGAAAATAAATACTTGTGATTAATTACAAATAATTGAGCAAAATTGATCGAATGCGCTGGCCACGTTTGATTGCGTTTTCTCAATTTTAGGAGCTTTCCTATGGATGGCTTATATACAGGAAGTGGCGCAATAGCCAAGGCTTCTTTAAACTGATGAGTCTTAATAACGATACCAGTTGCGGTTACCTCCCAAATTCTTGAACCTGGACGAGCGCAATAAATTTTTGGAAGACTTTCTTGATCGACTACATTGGTCGCTTCGACATTCATACTAAACACTTGCTTAACATTGGAAACGTGCTCTCTCTTTTTCGCCATTAGTGCATCCCTATCGATATTCTGAGTTTTGAGAAAACAAGCACCAAACTCCCCGTCTCTAGGCTTATTCCCAATTTGTTTATATTGTTCTAAGATCGTATCACAAATGTAGCAACGATTTAACGTAGAGATTAATAATAGAGGGGAAGTAAAGTTCATCTGTACAATTTTAGAGTCTAAGTTCATTAAAGTGCACGACGGAGCCTGAAATATTCCATTCACCTTCGTAAACGGAAAATAAAACATTGTGTTAAAACATCTTATAAAGTACAATAACGCTGCGATTAATTTAATTACCATAAATGTTAGGAGGACCGTGACCGATGCCTTTCCTGTTTCGTCGCCTGCATAAACTTCTGTACTATTGCTGTTCCAACAGAGGCACGTTACTTTCTCTCCCAAGTGCTCAGTTGAAACGGTTATTAATTTAATACTCGGTTTCAGGGCTACCAAACAAATATTTCCTCTAACGGTAGCCAAAGCTATCATTTTCTCATCAGGTGATATTTGTGCTCGAAATACTGCTCCTTCCTATAACACACAATCTCAATGTATCTTGCACGAGCAATCCGAAAAATGTTTGAAAAACGGTTGCTTTTCAAAATTCTAACATCAAAAATAACTCACCGACAATGGAATCAACTGTTGAAAAATGCATGGCTCTCTCGCAAACAAATAAAGACTTCCACTCGTGGCACCAAGTACAATATAATTTTCCGATACATTTATGCAAGTGTACTGCAGAGAAATAGAGGGAGGGAAGGGAGAAAACAGGTGTAGGGGAAATAAAATAAGCCATTGTTTTATAGGTAAATACGCACTATAGAAGGCAAATGTCAATTAACGTGGTAAAAATACCTGTATTTTTTTCGTCGCATTGAGTGGCGCATACAGTAAAGAATTGAGCTCCTGCCATTCTGTTAATAAAAAAGGAATTTCCTGCATATTCTATTTAGGCGCGTATTGCTTACATTAAAAATCAGGTCCTTCACTCGTACCCCACTCTTCGATTGTTCACGATCGTTGCGGTAAGTGGCGCATCCTCGCCACTATATTCACGATAGCCTCTAATATCCAAAAATTATCCTCAAAGAAACAATTCCTACCTATTTCTCGTAGCGTTGGCCATTCTCTAGGTTAATTATCGTATCTATTGCATTAACGACGACGACGACGACGATGTCAAATCACCCCCAGCAGCCGAGCTAATATGGTTTCCCTCTAACGGGCGACGGCGTAAACTTCGGACGTCAGTTTGCCGCTAAAAGCGCTGTCGCCGCTACATAAAACGCGTATATACGCGCGCTAGTTTCGTTCAATAACAATAACAACAACAATAACAACGACAATTAATAACAATACGACGGCGGCAGTCGGCAGTCCGTGCGTTCATGCATTATCTGGCCCCCGTTGACTGGCTGTAAAAGAGGTAATAAAGGTAGTAGCGGAGGTGTGCCGGGTATGCATAATAAACAATCAATGACTTGAGATTTGTAAAGCAAAATTTATTATGCACTTGCTTTATTTCACATATAATTAAAAAACAAAAAAAAAAACAAAAACAAAAAAAAAGTACAAAACAAAACACAAGTAAGTAAGGAATGAGAAAATTGATGATAATTGAGAAAAAAAAAAAAGAAAATAAACGGCTTAACATTATTAATTTATCTTGCAACGAAAAATGATGCGCCGTACCGCTCGATAATCTATTGGGTATGCGTATGTGAATCACCTGGACTTGGTTGGGTTGGTGCTCAAGGCGTTTCGAGGAGACGTGCGCGCATCCATTGGTATTGAACATCCAAATGTACATTTAAGCCGCGCGTACTTTCGATTTACCCGTTCAATGACATTGACGAGCATAAGAGGCAACCAGAAGCAAAAAACCGTCCTCGGCTGAGAATCCGAGTACACTTTAACGACAAACATATCGTATCATCGTATGCTTTCGCTTACCCGGCACCTCGAGTACTCTTCATCCTCCTCCTCCACCCCCAGCTCCCTCCATCACCCACCATCATCCCATCCAACCCTCTTTCATCGTACGAAAGCTTATTTTAAGAATTACGTTAAAACACGTACACGCACAGGGGCAAGCGCACTCACACACTAAATTTGCCTTCCCCGACAAATAGTGGCGGTGCACGAGGGAGAAAATACGGGACTAAGGGTGGTCCTTTCCTCCTTTTCTCCTTTTCTCTAGTCCTCCTCCAAAACGCGGTCGGGCGATCCACCATTCGAGCAACATCATTGACATTGACTTACAACTAACTATTCGAGGGCGCTGGGTCACTCGACCCAGACTCGCACACATTCTTAACGCCTAAGGATTATTAAAACTTGAGATATAAAAGTTGAGAGATGATTGACAGGTCGAGCGAGCGATCGCTAAATAATGTTGGATTCGCGATACGCTGCGTGACGATGGCCGTATAGGCCCGGTTATCCATGAGGGGCCACGGCGTCACGATTAAAATGTTGTAAACATGGTGCAACGCAGCCGCCTATCCTCGTGGATAATGCCGCTGATGTTCTCGTACTCGGGGGGTGTACGAAGTGGTGGTGGTAGCGGCTGGGTCGCGTGCGGATACACGACTCGGCGATTCGATCGCGGCACGTCGTAAATGACCGGTACATCGAGGCCTGGCTGTCTTCTTAGCTGGACAGACGGCTCATCCTCGCGTTTCCCCAGGTCCTTGAGCTTGTAGGGGCGCGGCATCTGCTCCGTGGTATCTGTCCGTTGGGCGGATGATGTGCGCCTCGGCGCTGCTGGAGGCTGCAACGACGAGATCGCGACCGAACAAGATTAACGAGCGTAGGAGGGAAGGGCCTCGAGAGGAGTCGAGCTTAGCGCGAAGCTAAGATGAATTTGAACTGGTATAACGAACCTGGATTGTCCTCCTCGTGGCGTAAAGGGACGCGTCGCTCGGTGCCTGTTCCTGGTAGCACGAGGTCCGGCGCTGCCTGGCGACGGCGTTGTTCCCGTAAGCCGGGCGTATGGTAGCGATGCTGGAGACGGGGCCGTCGTCGAGGTGGCGCGAGGTGGCCCCGATCAGCTTAGCGAACTCGCGCTGGTCGTTGGGGTTGGGCTGGAAGCGGTCCGCGAGGGCCGCCCGCTCGATGAGTCGGGGCATGGTGTCGCGGCGAAAGGCCCGCATCTCCTCGCCGAGGCTCTCGCGGGTGGCGTAATAGTCGCGCGAGCCCCTCGGCAGGGTTTTCGCGCCCCGCCAGCTGACGATCGTCGATAGGAAGCTTTTGAGGAGGCGCCGGGCACTCGCCTTGGGTAGACTCTCGGCCGCGACGAGGGTCGACGAGCCCTCCCGTGGACGCTTCGTAGATGCAACGACTCCCCCGTACTTCAGCGGCAGCGGCCCACCCTCGTCCTCCGTCTCGTCATCCTCGTCCTCTTCCTCGTACTCGTCCTCCTCCTCCCCGTCCTCGTTCTCGTTCTCGTCCTCGTTCTCGTTCTCGTTCTCGTTCTCGTTCTCGTCCTCGTTGTCACGCTCCGGCACGTTCTCCAGCTGCCGGCGCACCGGCCTACGATCGGGGTATTCCGTTATCTGGGCTTTCATCTTTAGGCTTTATATTTAATTTGGATGGGACGAGCGGGGGCCGATCGCGTCACATTTTTGAATTACTATTAGAGAAATAACAAATGCCAACGAATGTTTCAAGATTTTTAACGACTATTTCGTGAATCTCCACTTTGAATTACGCACACTTCAACAGATTGTTACGAATGGCTTCGTCTTACATCTATTAACATAAAATAACTTGACCCGTTCGTTATCGTGCCTAACTACCCGAGCTTTCCACCTCCGCTCCGACTCTAATATTTCAAACGAAATACATCATCCACGTGGCTAAATTATATATATTAGCATTTTAGCGACGAAGCATCGCTGCTGTCGTTTCCCCTCAATTTTCCCACTCGAGATCGCATGATATTGATTATATAAGTGGCTGGCTCGAAGAGGCAAAATTTCAGGATACGCACGAGGGAAGTAAGAAATAAAGTCGAGGAAGTATACCGCGGTAAGGTAAGATCAGAATTGAATCTCTCAAGAAAGATCTTCTCCTTGTCCGGCTTGGGGTTCGATATCGTGACGATCTCCTTGCCGTAGTCCTTGCTGGACTGCCTGTAGGGGGCACCCCCGTAAATGTCGGCTGAGGGTACGCGCGCATATTGGGTGAGATCCTCGCGCTGTTTGCGCTCGAGGGTTGCTACCAGCCTCTTGACGAAGCTGCTGGATCTTGGACTGTGTGGTGTGGTGACGGCGGTGATGGCGTTGGCTGCGGTGCCGGCAGCGGGCGTTGATTTCTCAAAGCCGAGCTCGAATTGGCGCCGGATGTCGTCGCTCAGGTAAGAACGGGCACGCTTAATTTGCGACGGTTCCGGGATCCGTCGATGACGGCCGTGGCACGACATCGTCGAGCTCCCGATGCTCGGCTGCTGCGACGTATCGTCCACTGTTCGGAACACGTCGAGGGTCGACTTTGACCGTCCCTTAACCCCATTGTAGCTCGAGTACATCGTGGTTATGTGGGCTGCAAGAGAGGTCGATATATCGTCCTTAATTTGTCACGCGCGGCTTTATAATGGAAGTAAATTTAGCAAATTTCTTCTGTACAATGATAATACGCTGTTATCATATAGAACGGTAAAATTTTCATTTTCAAAATAAATAATCCAAACAAAGTGTACGCGGACTTTATGACACATTGTCCAGCCTACCAATGTAAATACAAATCAATTGATATATTCTTTCACATTATAATCAAACATCGTAATTATTATGCTATTTTCAATGTTACAATGTATTGTTAAGTACGTTATTTGGCTATTCGATATTAAACGAAATGAATGATAATTAAAAATAAGGTAAATTTTGACGTGTGCAATTTGATTATGTAAATTTAACGTTAGAAAATGTTCATTATCAGTGGAGCAGCTCTTCGTAGCTCACGACATTGAACTTTATGTTTCATTTAATTATTACTCGACTTGATTATTCTTGTATCAATATGAAAATGTATTGTATAAATCGATGAATTTATTTAAAACACGGCGAAGTTATAGTGCCGAAGAAACCATTGGAATCCCGTCAACTTATTGTTATGTGAATAAAAAGCCGTGGAAAGAAAATATATTTGTATAGAGTAGTAGCTACTGCTGTTTTGTATTTCTCTTTGTTTGTCAAGAAAATGCCTTAAATTATTGTTAACTTACGAAAGCAGTTTGCAGCACACTTGAATTTTAAGGATATGACAATACTTGTTATTGTCTATACTGCAGTTATTTTACGTGTTCATTTTGTAAAAGTTTCATTTTTACGAATAAAATAAATATAACTGACACTAGTTTCAACGAAAATTGCAAGGAAATAAATTACGTTCTGAATATTTTTTTTTTTTATTGTGTTTTTTTGTTTTCTTATTCTTTACAGTCGATAATTCCAAGTGTTTTAAAGTAAATCGATCGTTCGCTTAACTAAGACAATAATTACACTGTTAAATATCTTATTTAATTGAAAATAATGTAGACGTCTCTTGAGAAAATGAAATTAGTCGTTACAACCCCATGTTTACTTCAGTTTTGATAGACGAACGAGTGTTTGGTATGGATAGCCGAAAATGGAAAATTAGTCAAAAGAAAGTTGATAGAGAGGTAAAGTCAAAATGTAAACAAGACAGAATTTAGAGCGACATCATGCTTGAATTATTATTATTATCTTTACGGTAATACATATACGAATTTGCTTATAAAGTCGGCAAATATTTGGACATGGAATTTTTAACATAAATTTATACCCTAAATTGCAAAATGATCGATTAATAATATATATTTATTGATACGATATTTCGATAGCGGATATATATATATATATATATATATATATACATACACACACATACATACATAAATAGTAGTATAACTTGATCGGCGAAAGGGTATTGATATAATTAGTAGTTCAACAAGTCTTATATAATTAAATATTATACAATATTGTAGATGCAAATTCGGTATTCGTGACAACTAAAAAGAAAAAAAAGAAAAAAAAAAGAAAAGAAAAAAAGAAAAGAAAAAAAAGAATAAAAAAAAGAAAGAAGTTACATTAATCGTTACTTTATCCTAATCAGCAAATTAACATATTGCTTGAATATATTTAAATCTACATAATCAATGGTGTAAATAGCGCATAGACAAATACAAAAATGAATATAAATACGGCTGTTTTGGAATTTATTGATATTTATTTGGCTTTTACCATAATATCGAAATGCCATAGAAAATCACAGAACAGCAGAAGACTAGTTAAAATCTGCGTTCAAAACTTGCAATTACCTTCATGTAATTGCATGAAAAGACTCAGAAACACTCTGTTTCCTGAAACAATTAGAAACATTAGCCATTGAGTACACGGCGTTTTTCTTTTTAAATTATTTGAATTATCTAATAGGAATTATAAAAGTCTTAACTTTATGGATCTCGTAATGTATTTGCGGATACTAGATTCATGTTCTGTTTCATATAGCATTGCCAATTAAATCCAATATTATTCAATTAGATTTAGTTGCCTATAGCAATTAAATTATAGCGATTTCAATATCGTTCGGAAGTTATGATTTTCCATCTAAAAGATGTAGTAACATTATTTGAAATTAAAATCTGCTCGACCACGCATTGGACCTCTAATGTTGCTAGATACGCAGAAAACATTATAACATCATTATACAAATTTTCTAATTTAATCTATCCAATGATAGATTGTGAATTAAAAATTTCGATTTATTTAATTCGATTATCGAATTCTCATCTCATAATTCGGCAATACATGCATACTCGTGGCACAATTACCAAAGTAGTTTACAACACTTCTATAAAACAGATATTCTATCGCAATCCTCGCTCAAATTACCCTACTATCCGACTCCTGTCGGCCTGCCACAATAATCCTTAATAATAATCATGAGAACAAAAGAAAGACAAGTACCCACGCTAAGGAGGACAAAGAACAATCGATCGTACGGCCCTGCTAATTGCGCGCGATCTCGCCAAAGGCCCGATCATACGCCGCGGCGAATTCGCACCAGGAGAGGGTCGAGTGGATCTGTGACCCGGACTTCGAGGCCGGTTTAACCGAGCCTTCGCCCTCGCTGTCGGCGAGAGTCGGCGACGGGGACAGCGACCACGAAGGCGATTCGCGTCCGAGCGTTGCCGTCCTCGAGGAGGCAGCGCCCGACCTGTCGGAGTATCCCGAGTCGATGACACCGATGGCCTCGTCGATCCTGAACAATTGTCGGGATACTTTATCGTTTCTCGTGGTGTAGGTGGTTCCGAATCCACGCGGCTGTTGTTGTTGCTGCTGCTGCAATTGGAGCCAATCATCGGGTTTCTCTCGCCTTATTGGACTGAGACCTGGGGAGTTGCGTCCGCTCGTGCGACCGCTTCTACTCGAGCCTCGCGACAACATGCTCAGGAGGGAGCTGGTGCGCGGAAGCTGAACGATCTTGCTAGGTATCCAGTAGACGTCCTCGTCCTCCTCTTCTGACTGCGGCAATGGTGTCGTGCCCTCGCTGTCGCTCGACTTGTACGAGATGCTCGTCGACTTGGCGATATCGGAGTCGCTGCTGTTGCTGCTACAGCAACAACGTCGGTCCTCCAGCTCCAAGTCGTCGTCGTCCTCCTCCTCCCCCACGTCCGCTTCGGAGTCGACTCGCTGCTTGGGAGGCTGGATGAGGCTGCGTGCAAAGTCGAGGGACTCGTGGCCGAAACTGGACCGGCCCTCGGCGATACTACGGTCGAGCTCGCCGATTATCTCCTGGATGAGGCGGCTACCCGACTCCCGGCGACCATTCTGCACCATACGCTCGAGCTCCGTAGACTTTTTGCTAGAGTTGAAAAAGCGGGTGTTGGGTGATGGAGTGCTCCTATCGACTGGCTCCTCCTCCTCCGAGGTGTCATCGAGTCCGGCGAAGACTCGGACGCGGGTAGTCACGCCGCAGGGCTCGACCTCGGCTATGAGGAAACTCGCGTGGTTATTGCCGCTACAGTCGGCCTCGTCCGGGGCTACGCTAACCGTCTCCTCGCGCCGCATCTCGATGTTCTTTGTCATCGTGTAGACGGTCTTGGGGTTGCTTTGCAACGGCTGCTGTTGCCGCTCCTGCGGCTTTTGCTGTTGCGCGTCGACGCTCGGCTCCGTGGGGAATGGCTTCGAGAACACGATATTGATGTTCTCGATCTTGCGAGAAGGACTGATGCGTGGAAAGGTGTTGCTGGGTCTAAGAAGAGGAGTGCGCGGCTTGACGATTTTCGCTGATCGGATCGGGATCGCGTCGTGCTGTGGTGTGTCGGAATCGGTGCCGGATGACGACGGTGTTATCGAGATGCAAGGATCCATGCCCTTTTTTGGCAATTTTCGCGTGATACGGTACGTCTGATTTAAGCCACCGGGTGTTGCTGTGACACGTACGTTCGCTGAAAATTCAATACGTCTCGTTACAATAATCACAAACGACGTTTTATGGAAATGTATTATTAATAAATAGACTTTTTCAAGGGACGCCGTTTTCGAGAAATTCTTTTAATCGAACATTGGATCAATATTTGGATAGTAATAATTTTAAATAACTAAAATGAAAATGACGTTGCAACCCATGCTGACATTTAAAGTTTTCCAAGGCACTTTAAAACTGTAAAGTAAATTCTTGTAAACATGTAATATAATGTGAGATAATACTTTACAAGACCTCCCTCGGGATAAAAGCAATACGACGGTATTTTCAGGAAATTCCCTCTCATTTAAGGAAACAAACGGATAGCTTAAAGCTTAGGTATACAATGTATTGTGTTTTGGCTATCTATTAAATACCTTTTGAATACGAGCTACGAAAATCATTGTTTTGTTAATCATTACCGTACATTCGAATGCCACACGGAATTGTGTGATGTCCCTACTTATATATATATATATATATATATATATATATATATGTGTGTGTGTGTGTGTGTGTGTGTGTGTGTGTGTGTATACAAGTGCGTGCGCATGCACGAGAATGCCCACCTGTTTGTGTTTTCTTCGGAGTGTTCTTGGGTGACTTCTTTCGAGGTGTCTTCCTAGGCGAGATCGTACTCTTCGCCTTAGCAGTCTTCCAGGAGGCTGGACGGCACTCGATGGGCGTTGCATTCTTCAGGATCCTCGGTGGTTTTGAATATTTGAGAAACCAGTCGGGCACCGAGAGCTGCTGGAGGGAGCGTTGCACGCGTATCTCCGCCTCGGTTAGTGGCCTTCCCTGCAATGCATCAGTATTGTGAATCGTGTGTACGGATAGCAGAAGCTTTCGTTTGGCAGTATTGTTAATGATCGTGACGAACGTAAGCTAATGGAGGGAGGAGAGCTTTTACATAGAGAAGAAACGAAGCTCCTCCTGGCCCTTAATGTACTTTGGTATTTCAAAAACGTGGAGATAGGCTACAAATAATCGAGTGGTTTGGCATTATTATCTAAGGCTATAATACACACGAGTGAAAAAACAAAAAAAAAAAAAACAAAAAAAAAAACAAAATAAAGCATACGCTGTTATGTAAACATCGAGAAATTTAAAATAATAGCCGTTTACGAATTATGTATTTACTTATTTGAGACGCGGGGAGTGCGTGGAATAAAGAAAAAAATCTACCAAACTGACTATTCATTTATATTGCTTATATTATTTATTCATTTATATCGCTAAAGTTTTAATAAATACAATTTACAAAATTATTGAATTTCTACGTATGACTATGATGATATTTTATTGTAAAATCTAGATGAACGTGTGTTAATGATAAACGGTTGGACAGTGGATAATATTGGGCTCGGGTTGATCAAGGCTCGATAGGCACATTGCAAACTAATAACAACTGTGAGCGAAATTGCGAGCAATGTTACAATGTCTAATCACGCTCATAACAGCAATCAATATTTACCACTAACTAATGGAAATATTTGTACTTACAAGTTCCTCGGAATACGTTCCAAGCATGTTCTTTTTTATCCAAAGAGCCGGCGCCAACATATTGCAAACATTAAACGAACGCACATTGGGAAATCAATGCCACTATAAGCGCGCGGGAATGACGATAATAAAGCGGCGCTTTATTTTAATAATTTTAATTGGCCCTCGACGTTGGAGCGGGAAAATCAGGGTCTCGCATGCAAACGACTGTAAGTTGTTTTACCTTCCGGGTCAAAGACAGTACTGAGCAACATTAACAATCGGCAGAAGCGGTTTCCGGGGGCGGTTTAGTTGGCGAAAATTGGCGGCTTAAAACCACCTCCACCGAGCCCCCCTCCCCCTCCCCCTCCCCCTCCCTCTCCGCACCACCAACAACAACGCTCCTCATCTTTGGTTGGCATGTAGGATCGAGAGAGAGTAACGAGTGTACGTACCTAGTCTCGATTCCCCGGGATTACGGTAAAACAGTGGGATCGCGTAGAGGTCCGGAGGAAGGGGAGTACCCCCTTTGGGGGTATTCATTCGCTGGGCACTGGAATTGTAAATGTAAGTGGGACAAATTATACCTGTAGTAGCGCACAAGGACTTGGAAACTTGGCGGTGTATATTGACCGGAGATTGACGTTTGTCTTGCGAGGCTCATAAGGATTCACGCCTCGTACTTAGGACTCGAGGACCTTCGTGCGCGAGACGACGATGTAATTTCGGCACTCCTTCGAGAATACGAATGTGAATGAGGGTCGATGCATGTTCGTACAAGAAATTGCGTCGTTTGCCGGAATCGGCGATTGAGGGTCAAAGGGCATTTAAACCGGTCAATTTAATGAATTTACCTGCTTTGGAGAAACTCTTTGCCATAACTTATGCAGTCTCCTGTATATTTAAATAATGCACATTTCTCCATGCGAATTTGACGCACGCTGCTATAAAGTATTGATTTGATTTATTTTGTCAAGGGCGACGATATTTTGGTATTGGATAATGCCTTGGTATGGATGAAACTGTAAGGAATAATAATACTTGGCGCGTTTGATTGATTAAATCGAGCAATTTCTGGAATCAAAACCATTGCTACCGTTAATATCAATATATATATATATATATATATATATATATATACACGTATGTATATTTACAAGTGTCAATATTTATTTATAATTTGAAATGCTTTCTGCATGCGTATCCTTTTTGCTCAACTTTCTTTGAATTCTATGAAAATTTTACATCTTCAATTTTCATTGGATGCTCTCTCGCTATGTCCAATACCTTTAATTACTCATTGTACTGAATCAAGTAGGCATGCCGTTAAAATTATCCTTCGTAAAACAACTTTCATCGCTCATCTAAGTACAATGAAGATTGAAAAGATTTTTAATTTAAACAATAATGCTGTAAGGTAGTAATTTTCTAAATAATAATTGAATTGGAAGCAGTCTCTGTCGCTTTTATTCCACATTTTTATTTGTTTTTTCTTTTCAACTATACAATGGTACCGCAATCATTACGAAAGACGAAAACTGCGAAATAAATAATGCCATTCCAGGTAGTGACAGTAAAATGTTTAGAAAATACATTAACTTGAGTACCTCGTATAGGCTACATACAGTAATTTTCTTTTCAAACTGTTGAAATGGTTTACTACAAAAATGGGAAAAATTCACGTTGCTCGAGTATTAACACGAATTACTGTATTTAAAAAACGCTAATTATCTAAGCTTGTAAAATGCACATCTGCCCTGACATTAATAAACCACGTATTTCCAATTATGTTCTCAATTATAAATCCGTTATTGGCCATTTTTAATTTCATTTTTAACGTTTTCATTGAACACCTCTTACGCTCGATGCGCGAATTAGTTGTACGTGACATTAAAAGATGCTATACAAAAAGAAAACAAAATTAATTCAGACTCGCAATATAAAAAAGCAAAAAAGATAATAAAATAAACTATAAACAATATGAGCCGAATCATTTATAAATACAATTGTAAATAATATCTTTGGTTGCTATGCAAGCGAATCCAATGTATTCACAATCATAATTTTGTAAAGCGATTTTATCATATAAGTATTTATTCATCTTCTACACTCGTTTTCATCTTAAATTGCCAGAAAGTAAGAAGCCTGTCGCACTGCTATTAATAGATAAAACAATATATAATAAGCACCATATTTATCGAATCAATGCGCAATCGATAACTTTAATGCACATGAGAGTGCCGTTTGAAGCATCGATAGAGAAAATGTCGCAGGTAAAAATATTGGCAAATGTCTCTCTCGTCCATTACCTCAATTTCAATTTCACCCTCGTAACTCTCAAAAGCCGTCGTTTTTATCTCCGGTCGGTAGGTTTCTCCCCCTCTCGCCCTCTCCACCGTCTCGCTCTTCACCTTTGCAAACGCTTACAACCTTATAAAACTACTCTGGGCCCGTGTCGCTTCATCCAGTCCAGCGCGTAAAATCAAGGACCATCGAGGAACAATGGGCTCCGCCGCGCTTCTCACGCATATTCTTCACGGCCGTGGTAGAGATTTGGCGACATCGGGTCCTCGGGAATCCTCGGGAAATTAGACCAGCAACAAAGTGTCGGCCGTGCCGGCGTGCCGAAGTGCAATAAATGCGGCGTCGGCGCTGGATCGAGCGCGGACATACCTGGACCTCACCGCCGCTCGGGGCCATAACATAATCCCAGCCAACACCCATTCCTCGGGTCTGTAATTGCTCGTTTCGCGGAAGACAGTGGCGAGGCATTAGCCGATGGGGCTTTGCCTTACTTTCACCCTTCCGGGTGCTGCTGTGTGACCGTCGTGGTTGCGAGTCGCTACGGCGGGGATGGCCATCCGATTTCGAGTTTTATGCAGATTCTCGGCGCGCGACGACTGTGGACCGCAAAGACCGACCTCCCCCTGCCCGCCGGCGATTTTACCTGATTCTCTCGGCCTTTATCTCCCTGCCCCCGTTCTCCCGATATTGTCGTTCGTCTTACGCACCTTTCGCTGTCTTTCATTTACGATCGGCTCCAGCTCAAACAATCGATCAATGGTAAAATGATAATAAAGATGAAATATTGATTAGCGGCGATTGCAGCGAAAGCTGTTGTGTTTCACCCAGAGATTATGGTATTTAACAGAAGTTTCTTCTTCCCATTCATCTTATTCTTATTATTCTTCCACGCCCCCGTCCCCTCCTATATCTCACTCCCGCCCTCCTTCTCATTCTCCTTTCTCCCCTTTCACTTTTTTTGCCTTGTAAGCATCGACTTTTTTATTCTCCATATTCAAGTATCCAGTTGAATATTATGTCCGTAGTGCTTCAGCGGTAAGTCATTCATTTTCATAAAAAATTTTCAGAAACAACACTTTTGTAATCATTATTTTATACTTTTCATTTAATTTTTTGTCTGTCTGTTTGTTTATTTATTTCCTCAGAGACACAGCGTCGTACTTTCTACGACGCTGTAATTATGCACAATTTAAAAATGTATACCAAGTATGACAACCTGTTATTTTATTGTTCGGATGTACCGAAGCCGATACTGCTTTCACTACTTTTCTTGATAATTCTCATTTCACTTGTATAGAGAACAAACGTGTAACTTAAGTATAATGAAAGCGGTATTTTCTTTGAAAAAGTAAATTGTAGTTTGATTTAATACGTTGTTTACAAAATTAGTACAAATTCCTTATATTTATGTATTATTTTGTCTGGTATGGATAATTTTTCCTTCTACGTACTTATAAAATCGCTAATTTTCTCGTTCATTCGCCTACCAATTGAGCCAATTTAATCGAATCAATCGGATATATTAATTACCGACTTATAATAAATTTGCACTATTTATTCAATTTTAATGAACTTTTAGTTTTTTTTTTTACAGAAAATTGTCCACGAGCGTGCAATATAATATAATAATTGCCATTATTTGCCATATTACAGATATCACTCTCCCGTCACTCTCCTAGACCTTTTCGGATGATATTGTGACGCGCGCTTATCTACTATCTTTACTCACAGAACTTAGCTTTTCGAAATTGGTTTCGACCATATAACGATCTCGCATTCGAATATTCTGTTTGCGCCCCTTACATCCACACCATAACGATGTAATTGCATAAACGATCGCCTTATCTATCCACGGCAATCGACGATAACTTCCAGTAAGCAGAATTACCTCAATTTACTTACTCATGCAAATAAGTTATAATAAATCGATCGATGATAATGCTCCTGAATGATAAATATTTATGATGGACAGCGTTACAAAAGATTTGCACGCTCTTTATTCCCAAGATTAACAAGCAACAAGCCACACGTTCTCGGTGGACAAAAAAAGTGACGTAAAAAGACATCGCAAATAAATACGAAATATCGAGTCTACTTGTTCGCCTTTTCCCCATTACATCGATCATACAATAAGTAAAGTTCCAAAAACAATAAAAAAAGAAAGAAAAAGATGAAGAAAAAACACTTTTATGGCTAGTGTTTTTAAAGCTGAGAGCTGCTAAATGACAATAATCTCGACATCACGGTAAGAGGGACGCAGAGTGCGCGCTAAAATATAATTATACATTGTACGCTAAATGGATATTATTCCCACGACAGCCGCTGGCGAGGAACTTGAATAGTCATGAAAATTTCGGAAGAACACCTTCCCCACCATCGCCATCTCTCCCCTTCCCCGTTCCTCCCCGCAATCCACCCGGCACGCAATAAAAAATAAAAATGAAAAAAAAAAAAAAACAATGTAGGAGCACGATTCGAAAGGGCCCTATCGCTCCCAGGGTCGACGTATCCTCGACGAGTCGTTATTTTGCCACTCCATAGACGTCCGCGACCGAGTTGGCTCGCGGTGGCCGGATCCGAGCGGCGTTTCACCGAGGAGGAAGGCTCCTTCCGGAGCCGCGGGGGGTGGGGGGGGGGGGGAGGAAGCGGCCGAGCGCGTCGACGCCGACCTTATTCCCGACGCGCAGTGTATCCGCAGCTGCACCCGGGGGTTGACGCCGCCGTCGTTACCGAACGTCCTCGGGATTAGTGCCAGTAGGGCCACGTGTCGCTGTTAATGTCGAGCTCGAGCGCGGAGGGGTCGCGGTAGAACCCCCGGGTCCATGCCGCCGAGGCTCGAAACACCTCGACAGCCGCGTCGTGGATGCATTTTTCGTTACGTGAAAGCGCAATTCTACGGGATCGCGCTCGACCTCTTTTTTAACATTATTCGCGCCGCTCGCTTTCTCGATATAATCGGACTGCGGACGTTAGGAGCGCTATTTAAGCGGCCAACCTTGCGCCGCGAGTGTCCGTATCGAGCAGCTTCTCCAGGCATCTCCGGTATGCGAGCCCACGAGTGCCTTTACAGTCCACTTAGAAATTCCGTCGATGTAATTAATGGGCATCGTGGAGTGTGCGAGTGTGATTTCATCGGGCTGGTGTAGGTTATTGGAAAGCGCGGCGCACTCGATTTACACAGACGCGCGGACACACTGTCGTCAGGTGGCTCACACTTTTTGGTAATACACCGTCCGATTTTAAAGACTTTTTATTCGGGCTGCGTCGTTGCAGCCAGTCGTAATCAACTACTGTTCGGCCGATGAAGCTCTAGTTGCAACGAAATTTCTCTGCGATTGCCTTGGAATACAAAATATTGGATCGATTTACATAGTACTGCGAAATTCCAATTTTAAATACGAGATAAAGTTAGTATTATTATTATTTGTATTATTAATATTTATCAGGATTTTAAATTTTCGTATGCACTCTTTGTAGTCTAATTCTAATCTAATTTTATGCGTAAGCGTAACGAAAAGTCCGAGTATGGGAATAAATTTGACAAATCATTAATTTTCTTCCATACGTTGAAATAAATTCTAATATAAAAAATCCGCGCCATCGGCTCATAACGAATGCTTCTCTATCGACATTTAAATAACAATCGTCATTTAGGCGATCATACGATTATTATCCTTAAATTTTCAGTCGACGTTATTATTATTATTATTATTATTATTATACATTATTATTATTATTGTATGTAAAGAATATCATCGCTTTATTTCTATATTTTCTTTCCTTTGGATTAATTTTCAGCAACAAATTATAAACATTTGAACATTTATATCGGTATTGGATATATATTTAATTCAAAATGCTAATTTATTAATATTATAAGAAATATATTTAAGGTTGCTTAAGGTTAACAATAACTATTGCATTGCGCATTATATTGACAAAATTGTTTACAAGTGCGGAGAAAAATTGTCGTTAATTTACACTGTGATGCGATATTTACATTATTATAATCGAATAAGATTCATTCATAATGAAAACTCGAATATTTCAGACTATAATATTAAAGTTTTTTTGTTGATTTTTTGATATTTATACAGAATAAATTGATTGATATGCTTTCATGCACGAGTGAATACACAATCCATATATATATATATATATATATATATATATATATTTGAATTGTGCCTACTCTTCTACTTTCTCTCCTGAATTACTTTGACGCTTAAAAAGTATCTACCGTGTCCATGCCGATACACGCATACAACTTGGCACTTACCAATCATTTGAAATCAACGCGCACCTCAAGAATTTCAATGCCAAGCTTCATGCGTCTATGCGAAACTCTTTGCATTCTCGCTTATTCTTTTATTATGGTGTTGAATATTAGCAAATGAGTATTGCTAGCTTTTAGCTGCAGTTTGAATTTTCAATCGCATCCAATGTGTCTGTCTCTAATTACAGTCATCAATTACTCGTTACTGATAACGTATCGCGTGCACATCTCTATTGGATCGGGAACACAATACTTAAGAGGCTGTATATGTTTTCTTGCTGCAATTATCGCGTTAGGCACAATTTCTTGTGAAACAAAGTCATTAGCGTTCCGTTGCTTGTTATTATATTAGCGGCATTGACGATAACAGCTTATATGGTAAATGTAGTTATAAAATATTTCTTTATACTTAGTGCCAGACAATCGATGAATAATATTTTCAATGTAAAAATCAAATATATTAAATTACTAATTCTAAATGTGATATATGTACAGCGTGGCTGTATTTATTTGACAAGCTTAATTTATTTATTTCACTTATTATGCACTTTACTAGTTTTCTCAATATTTTATGAATGTATTAATATGTTAAATCACACACACACACACACACACACACGCGCGCGCGCATATTTTTTTTTTTAAACTTAACGATATTTATAATGTAAACATACGTTAAAAGTTGGAGATTTTTATAGAGAATAAAATTTGACGAAACATTTTTATCTCCAATAAATATTTGTCTCTAATATTTTACCTCTACTATAATTATCTACAACTATTATAGTTATATTCTTTGATAGATTTTTCACTTTGAATTGAACAATTTCTTTTGTAACTTACTCAATCGAGAACTGTACTATTGAAATATATACGTTTCACAATATCATTTATTTATATGCATTCTTGGTCATCATATTGGAATTTTAAACAATTAATTATAAAGCCATAAGAAGATAATCCATGCTAAAATTGATTATTATTATTATTATTATTATTATTATTCATAGTAGAAATTAAAATATTTTATATACAAGTTGAAATTTTATATTTATCATTCATTTAATTAACGTAATTATTACGTAGTATTTTTTTTTTTTTTTTTTAATTTTAAAAGCTATATTTAAACAAATTGAAAATTCTATTTTACAATAGAATTTATAATAACGATGTAACGATTATAAACTGCAGAAAAAGCCAATTTTTAATATATTTTTTCAAATAAATATAAAATTAAATTGAAAATGGAGAAAAATCGTTGCTTCGAATTTAAAAATTTTGTTTATGGACTTGTATTTGCATGAAGGAATAGACGTGTATGGAATTGACAATTATGAATTTATGCAATTAATACATATGAATAGACTATAAAAGAGAAATAATAAAAATAACTCTTAAAGCGATAAATAAGTATATTTATTAGGTGTGTCGTGCACTATGATTAGCTTATGATTTATTACTGCATATTTTGATAGACATGCGCCTACCTTGATTATTTCAAAACAATGTATTTGTAAGCATTAAAAGAATATTGTCTACGAAGTAAACTTTAAGACGCATTGATCTCACATTTTTACTTTAAGAATAACGGGAATTTTCTCAGAATATCAAAGAGTTGTAAAAACTTAAATAAATCCATAAATTTTGCTTGCGATGGACATTGCGATGGAATAATGCGTAATTTAATGCTTTGCAATGCGATTCTTCAATAAACTTATTATTATAATATATGCGTGGCGAATTTTTGCGGATGCAATACGTGAAATAATGTGATATTCAAAATTATTACATTTTGAAAGGTGTTGTTGAGAAATATTCATTAGATAAATTTACAAATAAATTATTTTTAATCAAGTAAGCACCGGTTCAAATATATATACATAAGTGCGCGTGAGAGTATGTGCGCGCACGTGTAATACGTACTATTATTGTTTATTATCGATTATTTTCGCATTATTTATAAATTATAGGTTATGACTTGAAAATTTTGAAATCATTATAATTGCATGTTTCATTAAATTAAAGAAGCATTTATGAAGAAATACCATACGATAAATTTAATGAAAATATTAAATTACATATGTGGATGATCAAAAGTGATCTATTAATAGAATAAGTTTGATAAAAAAAAAAAAAAAAAAAAAAAAAAAAAAAATAACATTGAATGATCGAACCATTCCAATAATTGGATATTTTGTGCAAATAATAACTCAACAGTCTACATTTTTCATATAATTTCAAAATTAATAAACTCCATATATGTTAGAAATTTTGAATCATTTGGAACTTGTTACATACATACGATTAAAACTTGCCGATTTATTTATTTATAACTATCTATAACTCTATCACTATTGAATATTTTTATAATTTTTATTAATATACTTTCGGCACGGTGGCATTGTTAATAATTTATTTACTTTCATTCGACGACATAACAAGAGCAGATTATTTTCAAATTTTTTATTTTTGCTTTCGATGTTAAACATAGATTAAAAAAATATAAGTAAAGTATTACCATACCTATTTACATATTATTCAAGGTCGAAATCTTCAGGTATACGCTTTTAACTACATTCAAATATTTTTTAATGGTCCGATGTAAATTTAGAAGAATTCATTTATATCAATAATTTTATAGTTGATTTCCTTCAAAATACATAGAGTACGTTTTAGTTGTGTTTAGAATGTTATATTTTTGATTCGTTAATAATATATTTGAGCATTGAACAATTTTAACATGAACATTGAATTGAAATTTTTTCTTTTTTACTATAATCGAGATAATATTTGTGCTCCAATTAATTTAATTTCAATCAATATAACATTTCGATCTATTTTTATACAGTCTACGATCATTATAATAAAACTAATCAAAAATGTTTACACGACAAATTGCATGCACAACACTGTTAATTAATAAAAAAAATTATTTATAATATTTTAACGTATTTTTATTAAATTAATGAATTGCTCGGTCTTCACTATTAAAATGAAGAGTACATTTTTTTTTTGTCAAGCCAAAACGTATTTAAAAATAAGAAATTTTGTAGGCAAATAACTTCTTTTACCAGAATTACGTCAGAATTGTGTAAAGAAGCTATCAGCATCTCGTCGATGATACATTCAGTCAGCATTAGGATATTTCTCTTCTCTCTCTCTCTCTCTCTTTAATTTATGCAAATAAATACAATTGTCCATGAAAATTCTCGTGTTTCAGTTTCGCACAATTACCGAAAGCTCATAGATATGAAGAACCTAATCGGAAGGAGTCAATTGGTGCAGCAATGGCGCCGTGGAATAACCAGTGAGAGCTTGACGACTCGCCCGAGTATCGAGTCGACGACATCATCTGCATCGGCTAGCGAACTCCAGGCGAAGCCTTACGAGGATATTCCCGGCCCGAAGCCCCTGCCGATCCTCGGCAACACCTGGCGACTCTTCCCCGTGATCGGGCAGTACACCATTTCCGACACCGCGCGCATATCTCAGCTATTTTATCAACACTACGGGAAGATAACGAGGCTGACGGGGCTGATTGGCAGGCCGGATCTATTGTTCGTTTACGACGCCGATGAAATCGAAAGGGTTTACAGGCAGGAGGGGCCAACGCCCTTCAGGCCTTCCATGCCCTGCCTCGTGAAGTATAAAGGAGAGGTCAGGAGGAGCTTTTTCGGCGACCTGCCCGGAGTCGTTGGCGTGTGAGTTTCATATCCTTCCTTACTCTTCTTATTCTTCATTTATTATTTTTTTTAGATACCTTTTTCAATATTTCTTCTTGGCTTGCAGCTAAACGAATTTTTATCTCAATATTCTAGAACACGAGACTTTTAGCCAAATTCTATTTTTAAAGAAAAATAGTTATTTGAGCTGAGATCTGAAAAATCGGATAAAAACAATAATGATAATTCACAAAATAATTATTCACAAAAATAGACAATGCTATTCTTATAAGATAAACGTATGATGAAGAATATCATCGTTGTCGCTATATTTAAGCACGTGGATAGATTTGTAGGTCATTAAGTTTTTTATATCGATAATTAATAACTATAAAAGCTGTTGGGTAAAAGATGCGGTTTAGATTAAAATTACTTCAACTACATTTACTCAATAGCATAATGCAAAATATTCATATTTGTTATTATAGAATTATTTTTATAAAGCATGGAATTAAATAATTATATTAATTTTGTTACAAATTTTCAATGCTACCAAGAAAAATTCAATAACTATATAAGTAAACGCCAGTTTTAACATTTCATTATAAAATATTGTAGATTTAGGAATTAATTAGTAGCAAATTTCTTTCAACATAATTTTACATAATTTAATAATGTATGCGTATAAGGATGACATAAAGATACGCGAGCTCGTGAAAATATTTTATCACATAATATTATAAATCATAAATAATTAATTTACTTGCCCTCTTCTTTTCGTTCATCCAATGAATCGCTAATTTATTCGATTTCATCTTTAACCATTTCAGACATGGCGAACAGTGGCGGGAATTCAGAACGCGAATCCAAAAACCGGTTCTGCAGCCGCAAACAGTCAAAAAGTACATAACACCTATTGAAGTGGTTACTAACGACTTTATGAAAAGGTAATGGATTCTTTATGGACATTGTTGAGACGAGTTTAACAATGTTTTATAGTTTTACAATTTCAATTTTAACAAATTTTTAATTATAATGAAAACAAAAAAAAAACAAAAAAACAACAACAACAACATTCATTCATTAGAATCGAAGATATCAAAGACGAGAAGGATGAAGTACCCGCCGACTTCGACAATGAGATTCACAAATGGGCCTTGGAATGTAAGGATATCCAAATTAGTATTATTTACATATAAAAATTTAAGATTGAGATATAAACATTTTTTGGTTTAACGTCGTTGCTTATTCAATAAATAAGATTTTTTTAACCGTCCGCAAGATTAATCGATCATTTTATCATAATTTTATTGCTTATACGATTCATGTAATTTGTTCGGTAATGCATTGCAGTGACATGAATTTTATTATTATTATTCACAATTAAAAGCATCCTTGAAATTTGATATAAATGACTATTAAATACCTTAGCAATATGAATTGCCCGAATGCTGAATTGCCGATACATTCCCTATTAATCCTCGAGGAAAGTACACAGTCGTAAGATATTTAATTCTCTCTGTCTCCATTATTTCGTAATGGTTATTAATACGTCGTCGATGCGCATTAGATTTCACGGATCCAACGATCCTAGAGCGCGAGACAAATTTTATCCATTTATTCGTGAAAATTTGGAAAAAGCCTTATTGTCACTCGCAGGCATAGGAAGAGTCGCTCTTGATGTGAGATTAGGCTGTTTGGGCGGCGAACTGGCGCCAGACTCCGAGCCTCAGAAGATTATCGACGCGGCTAAATACGCGCTTAGGAACGTCGCCACCCTCGAGCTTAAAGCTCCTTACTGGAGGTACATACCGACACCCCTTTGGACACGATATGTTCGCAATATGGATTTCTTTGTCGAGTGAGTAAATGTGCTTGTCGCTAAGCGTCGGCAGCTAGCACCTATGTGTTTTGTTGATATTTAAGATTAAAGAAGAATAGCCGTGTGAAAAGAGTTGACCCAAGGGTGCTTAGATGGTAGTCACACAAGCGCGAGGTTTATATTTCTCACGCGCATGGAAAATCCTATGCTGTGCTTGAACGGAAATTTTAACTTATATATATATATATATATATATATATATATATATATATATATACATCCTTATGTGCCATTAATCGTCTTTAACAAATATTTAGAGCTACTTTTTAGCACCGCAGTTATCGCAGACTTAAGGCATATTTCACGCTTAATTCTTGCTCGATTGACAGGTTTACAAATGCATGCGCGCAAGGACGTCAAGTTTTAATGCACTAAACTTTATACGATTCTCGGAGGTATAAAGAGAAGATGTCTGTATTTATAATAAGAAAAGAGAAAAAAAATTTTCATTTTCATATAGTCGATCTTAATTTATGCATGTGACGTTAAATTTACATTTCCAGTTTGATGATAAAATTTCGTAATAACTGTTCGTAGCGATAAACGCATCGAAATTGGACAAAATAAACTATTATTTTAATAAACTCGCAGATGAAGTAGGAAATCTCAAGTTCTTTCGCGTCAATATAAAAAGCAAATGTTTTTAAAAGCTTAATAAACATTGTTAATTTAGATCTATTTAAAATTAAGTTTATTATAAAATATTCAAATGTAAAATACGCATTCATTAAAGTCAATGTAAAATTTCATTATAAGGCTAATTTCTGAGTTTTAATGCAATTTGTTATAATGGAAAAATAGTAGGATTTTACTGGTTTGTGAATTAAATTAACATTGGATAAATATATTAACTATTTAGGGTATATTGCAGACGAGGCATTACAAAAGGAATTTTTTTCTTTTTAAATTAGTGGTTTATATATTCCGTTAGTGCATACAAATATATAATATATAACTTTCGTAATATTTTAATTACAATTTTTCCATGCAAACGACAAATGTATCCGCATTAAATTAATTATTAAATTAATTATTAAATTAATTATTAATTAAAATTAAAAAGATTAATCTAAAAGTATAATTTTAATGGAAATACAATATCTATGTAAATTGAAAGAAATTTTTTTACAGTTGCATCTAAATAGTAAGTGATGTTCGAAATTTTTTGAAATTCATATACAGAAAATTACAATTTGTATTTGTACCTCTAATGTACATGTAAATCAATTTTTTTCTATTTTTAACGCATTTTTCTTTCTCTCTCTCTCTCTCTCTCTCTCTCTCTCTCTCTCTCTTATGATTTTACATTTATTGCAATGTCTTCGGTTAAAGCGTGAATACTAATAGCATAAAGAAATATGAGTATTAGTACTTTTTTGTGAAAGTATCATTTTAATATTTGTATAATGAGATAATATAGTTAATGCAAATTATGATATAATCAATTAATAGCTAAACAATGGCACCCAATCATTATAAATTACCTCAATTTTCACAAAATTGTCCTAGTATTAATTATCGATAATCGAACTCTTTTACCATCCTTTTTATAATATCAATTTGAATAAAAATTAAAATATATGTTTTTTTTAAGTTGAAGATGCTACGGAATAGAATGAGTTCGAATTTAAGAGAAGCATACCTTATAAAGCATTGGAATAGATTTTATGAATCATTTTAAGCAAATATTGTAATATTAAAATTTTATTAGTGTTAAATAACATTTGCTTAAACATCATATTTGCTTAAATTTGTTGTGTATTAACGATTTCATAAAAAACTTTTAATCTCATAATGTTTCATTTCATACGCATCATTACATATTCTTAATATTACCATGTATGAGTAAAAGCGTATATTATTACTGTTTTCATAAATATACATATTCAAATAATTCTAATTATTAAACTAGATTGATTTTGTTTAAAACTGCACTTTGACGATAGAGTATGCATGAAATACATCGATGCAGCAATGGAGCGATTGAAAGAAAAGAAGAAAAATGGTGCCGAAGTGCACGAATCAGAATTATCTCTCATTGAGCGAATACTTGCCAAAGAATCAAATCCAAAAATGGCATACATTTTGGCCCTTGACCTCATACTAGTTGGAATTGACACCGTAAGAGCATTAAAATAATTATTATCCGTATTATTCCGATTAGTTATGAACGATACAATATTAAGCTAATGGTAGTAAAATTATTATTTCACTATAATTGATTTTACGTATAATTAGTTTTTTCATCAATCTTCTATAATAGTATTTTACAAATTGCTTGTTGATTTTGTTTGATTTAGTGAATAATAATGGAGAAACTTCATATGTAAAGTATGTGTCTTGCTTGAAATTTTGACACTTGTTATGTGAAGATGACAAAAGATATTATTATTTATACAATGGAAAATAATTTACGCGTGTCTATTTTTTTTCTTTTTTCTTTCTTTTTTTTTTTTTTAAGTAAATAAAAAGCAATTCATCTATTCGTTAAATTTAACGCTTGGATCTTGTAAATATACAGTCTTGTTATAACGTAGCAAAATTATAAGATAAAAATATTTTACAATAAAATTAAAAGTAATAGCTAATTATATTCGTAGTTTTGTCATAAATGTACTGTATATGATAATACACAACGTTATTTAAACAATTAAAAAACTTTATGTTATTTTTCTAATTAAAATTTTTCTTGGCATTTAAAAATTATTATTTTGCAGTATATAATGATTTATTGCGTTTCTCTCTCTCTACATTTTACAGTCCGTTTAAATTGGCTCTACAGCATAAATATGAAATAAAAAGCACATCTCGAAGTTATGGAAAGTAATGGTGCGAAAGTATCGGTTGAATATTATTCAACGTGACTGAAATAATATTTCGTTTTCACTTGGCTTTACAATTATTCTAATCTATTTCCTAAAATTTCCGAATGTTGAAAAATAAAAATGAAAATCAATCATTAAAAGCATCATGATTTATAGATTTCTATGGCAGTTTGTTCAATACTCTATCAGTTAGCCACTAGACCCGTGGAGCAAGAAAAGATTCATGCGGAGTTAATGAGAATCGTCCCTGATTCCAAGATTCCTCTAACGACCAAAGATCTCGATCAGGCACATTATATGAAGGCCTTCATTAAAGAAGTATTCAGGTACAGCGAATTATTATCGATGAACGAAAATCGATTGCCCAGGCAGCCAAAACGATTATACTTAGCTTATCGTTATATTTATTAGGATATATTAATTTTATTAGGATGTACTCGACCGTCATTGGAAATGGAAGGACTCTGCAGAGTGATATGGTTATATGTGGATATCACGTGCCTAAAGGGGTATGTATCGACGAATTTTCATCACTTTTTATCGATCGAAATTAAGGCAAAAAATAGCGATTATCGCTCGAGTAGTGGCGTCAAAAATTTATGAATAGAATTAAATGTAAGTATGTCGTAAAAACGATCAAAAATCTAGTAGAATAGCAGCAACTGGCGATATAAGTAACGATATACCACAAAAAAAAAAAAGAAAAAAGAAAGAAAAAAGAGTACTATATCACGAGATAATTTACACGCAAGAATTTCGTATCAAGTGACTGGTATATACGCGTTGAAGGTGTTATGATTGCCCGATGAACCAAGGAATAATAATTGTCGATAGGTTCAAGTCGTATTTCCTACTTTGGTGACTGGATGCATGGAGGAGTACGTGGAAGACGCGGGGTCCTTCAAGCCCTCACGCTGGTTAAAGGATGCCAATGAGCAGAAACTCCATCCCTTCGCCTCGCTTCCTTATGGCTATGGGGCTCGCATGTGTCTTGGGCGGAGATTTGCCGACCTTGAGATGCAAGTTCTCCTCGCTAAGGTTAGTGCTCTTAACCCTTTTATTTTAAGTGCTCATTATTGACATAAGCTCTTACATAGGTTTGCTTATTATTTATTTTAAATAAATGGTACTTATTATAGTGGATAAGGATGACGTTTTGAAATGTCATTGTCATTGAATATCACTGCAAACTCAGAATTATTAACGTATTTACACATTTCGAGCAAACAACTTTCACAAAGCCAGTTTAAGAGAATATTTGCATTTATTAAAAAATAACATATCATTTATTAAAAATATTAAATTTATTAAATTTCATAATATGTGAACCGGCAACAATTTCTAAATTTATAAGGTCTTTTAAGATTGATTTTGCCTCAATCAAGTCTTTCGGATATGATTTATCGTTGACAAGTAGTTTTTACATTGTAAATTTTCGGAAATATATTTTTAGAAATAAATTCATATGTTATCGTTTATCGCAAGCACTATAATTAAGCGTAACAAATTATTATTTATATTATCCAATAGAATCTTAAACGAAACTTACTCTTAAATAAACAAGGTTATTTCGTATTTTCAATATTTTTTTTTTATTCATAAAATCAATCGTTTTTTTTCTTTTTTTTTTTAGTTTTTATGAAAGTAACGAATGAAAGTACCTTATTATTTAAACGGTACTTATAATTATTTTTCAACGTAATTCTTTGTTTCAGATATTACGAGAATATAAAATTGAATATAGATATAATCCACTCAAATATAAAGTGACGTTTATGTACGCACCAGATGGAGAACTGAAATTCAATATGATTAATCGAAATAGATGAAGATAAATGAACGTTAGATTAATTTATAATGTAGATATGTGCAATAAATTTTATTTTATTGTTTGCCTACACTTTTGGAGAAAAATATTTTAAGCGATGACAGATAGAAATTTCGTACAAATTTTATTGTCACGTACGATATAATATTTTCATGCGAAATGTATATGCAATTAGAAATTATAAATAAAGATTAAAAAAAAAAATTATGAAAAACTACTTGTTGGTTATCTTCGGCATTCAGCGTTTAATGAATTTGAATTTTAATGGTCCTTTGGGCGTATACATTGGATCAATGTAGTAGTCTAACTTCTCATAGTGATATTCCACTCGGTACTTCTGGAAAACCTATAAAATACAAAAATAAATGAATAAATGTTGAATTATTTTTGTGTTCATCTGTAATTCTCGATGATTTCGAAGCAGAAGAAGATGGATAAAAAGATTACGTTTTAATATTTTAAAGAAAAATTGTTAGTTTATATGGTTATTGCGTTGCGATTGTGCTGTCCAAGAATTCATCATATAGATTTACGAAACCATATTAAAAAATTATTAAAATAAAAAATAATCGATAGTTAATTTATAATAGTATCTAAATTATTTTCCTCCACTTAAAGTAATAAATTAAAAATTTTATGATATACACAAGAAGTCGTACTATTTTACTATTTATTCATTTTTAATATGTTTATGTTAAATTTATATAATTTACCTCCTCTATATAAAATTTTCTCTTTATTTTTTGTGCAAGTTGAAAAGAAGAAAAAACTAGGACGTTTAAATATTACTCTATATCCTTTATATCTTCTACATTTTATAATCCAAAACAAAATTCAATAAACGAATGGCAAATAATTGTAATAAAAGCAAAGTGCTTCAACCTTTGATTAAACGAATAGTTCATGGCAGTACTTTTTCGTATAATGAATTTTTAATGCACGCATAAAAATCTTTTATTGTAAAGTATGAAATAGATTGTCGAGAACATACGCGCGCACGCACACACTTAACATTCCTTCCCGCCATGACGAGACACGAGATAAGTTTTTCATTAACAGAAAATCCCGTCATTATCCATGAGATTCATAATTCTTTGTTAACAATAGGTCAGTGCACATTATACGTTGCATGAGCGCGCTATAATTTTTTCTTTCCTCTTTCGAGATAGCGAATGAAATTTTACGACTACACGCCACTAATCGGCGCACAACTAAAAAAGTCATCTCAAAGGCTTCGATTGAAAAGTCTGCTCGCGAAGGAGTGAGCGTTCGGTTGGCTTGAATGGAATGCAGAGAAAAACAATCGACCGAAAGACAGAGTACGCGGTTCGTTCAACCGAAATATAAGGTTTAATGGGATGACGTAGAGTCAATGGTATTTTTCATTTTTCATCGATCACTGTTTCCCTCGTTAAGCGCCGCCTAGTTCGCGATTTAAAAATTGCACAAGACATTCACACGGATAGTGGTGTAGAACCTTCAAAAGTAAATAGACGAAAATGTTTGCTCGAGTATATGAAGCGTTTTGCTGTTTAGGTTTAGCGAGTAGAAAGCGAGATATATTTTGCGATAACATAATTGGATAATGGGCAGATAAATTGTTGAAATATTTTTGACTCGCTAATCCATTGTTCCTTTTTCGTTTTTATTTTTCTTTTCACGGTGGATGGAGAAAACAGATATACAATTCACGCAAATACCGAATCATTTATATCAATACAATGGGACTCTTATTCGTAATAATAATAATATTTGCATAAAGGCCGTTCATAATAAACTATATAATATAATTCGCGACAATATGATTACCAAGTATTCCTAAATATTATGAAGAGACTTAAATAAAAAAAAAAAAAAAAGACACAAACACACACACAAAATTATTCGAATACCGTAAAAATATAAGAAAATAATAATTAATATAATTATTATTTTTAAACGGTGATGATTTTACAATGTTAGGATTTTTCTACGAAATTTCAACGCATCGTTATTGAAGAAACAAAAGTGTGGCATAAATTTGCGATTTATTACATCTATTCATAAATCATGAATTTACAAATATTTTCAGGTGCCTTGAAATAGCAATATCCATCGAAGCTTTACACAAAAGAAAAAACAAGAAAGAAAAAGAAAAAAAAAAAAATTTTTTTGTCACGGACGTTGCCTCGCCTTTGCATATTAACAGCCGAACTCCAAATGCCGCGAAAAGCCGAAATGTTGTAGCAGATAAAAATCACAATAGTTGACGTCAAAGGCGTCAATATCGCCTTCCCGTTCTACCAAACAATACGAATCACTGGCAAGTCGTTAGGCAAGCGTGTTAAATTCATAAAATGCGAGGAAGCGATGGACGTAGCAATTTCGGCGTATGTCGTCATATCGCGCGCACCTCGTTATCGCAATGCCGACCACGCGCTTTCTCCCTCAGTGATGCGCTACGCTCGTTTTCCCCGTTACCTTGCTGAGGACGACGAGTATCTCGAGCTCGGCGAACCTGCGTCCGAGGCACATACGCCTCCCGTAGCCGAAGGGCAGAGATGCAAAGGCGTGACGGGGCGCCTCCAAGCCCCCGGAGTCGATCCATCGCTCCGGCAAGAAACGATCGCTACCTGGGAAGTAGCGCTCGGTGTTGCTGATCACGTAGTGTTGAAACACGACGTGCACCTGCGACAGGGAATAGGCGTTAGGCCGGATAAGGGCACGATCGAGGCTGCGATAGCACAAAGCTTTGCGGGGGTTGAGTGCTGATGGTAGTTGCGCGGTGCTGGTTGAGGGTGGACGGTTGAGGGGACAGGTAGGGGGAGGGGAGGAGAGAAGTAAAAGGAGGAGGACTTGTTATATACCTGCAGAATTATGACTCACCAGCGGTTATGGTCGACTTGAGCATTGCCGAGAGCATCTGACGATTCTTTCACCGCGGTATTATTAATTGCTAGTCACATTATTTGGGAGAGGATTGTTGGGCTGTGGGCCAATTTTGTTGGATCGAACGCGTGGAACCGTAACGCGATGCTTTGATTACTTTAAAAAAGAAAATATAGAAGAAAAAAGCTTCTACAAGGGCATTATCTGTTAAGTGAGTTAAACCAACGGTAATTAAAATCATTAACAGTTATCTTCGGTATTACTCTAAGCCGTTTTCGAAACTTTAATCCTAAACAGCTTTCAAATTGTTCGATCTTTGCTTATGGTATATTTTTAAGTAAACTGTATTGCTCTTTGACATTTATTTTACGCAGTTGTCACGAATTTTACTTTAAGGATTAAACTCAAATTCCCAATATATTGTCTTTGTCATATGTAATTTTTTAAAAGAAACTTTTCTTAAATTATTCTTCATTATTTCTTAAATGTGCATTATATGAAAAAAAGATATTTTTTTATTTTTTTTTTTTATTTTTTTTTTTTGTACACACTTCATGCATCCGTAAATACGATAATACACATTTCCGTATTCTTTAACGATGACAAAGCAGATATGAGAAATGACATTACTTTGGAGTTGAAGTATGAAAAATATTGTTTGAACGATATTTCGTTCGATTAAGCTAAAAATAGCAACGAGGCTAAATATATTAAATAAAAGAATAGTTAAATATTTATATTCTTTCATTTCTTCAATTCTACATCACTAACTCTAGTTTTCATATTTCCGTCATTTCATCATGAAAACAAAAGGTCAACTCGTCACCATTTTCATTAATTTTTGTTTTTTATTTTCTTTTAACGTAATATCATCATAAAAGCCATTATAATGTTCATTAGATCAATTAGAGAAAGTAAACAAAATTTTGTAAATTTTTTGATAAAACAAAAATTTTATAATTTAATTGTTGAATTAAGGTTGAATTTCAAAGACGCATCATTAAACAGCGGGAAGTGGAAAAATCTGACATTTCGTAATACTGCCTTAACCGAAGTCGTTGAATTATCCATAGTTGTTCAAAGTTTTAAAGGATGTGAGGAGGAGAAGGTGGAGGAGCAGAAGGAGGGGAGGGAGGAATTAGTCGTCACTCGCACTCGTCAAGCCACTCTCAAAGAATTAACTATTATTGAGTCCTCGAGGGGCGCTCGATGAATATTCATCTTGGCGATTAATGATTTAAGCGTCGAGCCATCGAACGAGCGAGCGACAGAGCGATATAAATAGCGTGAAATTTCCGAGTGTGCGCGTCTCACGCCATTAAAGTCACTCGCAATCCTAAACGAACTCCTCGTTCCCGACAGCGGCGTTCGCATGCGTCGTTCGATAAAATCGCGCGCACCGTCAGAATCATGATAATTGAGCGGCGATAAAAGATTACAATGGGACTTACGCCTTTGGGAACGTGGTAGCCGCTAATGATGGTGTCGCTCGTCATGCAGCGCCCATTGCCAATCACCACCGGGAACATTCTTCACGGCAAATTGCAACAGACAATCACGACCATCGGACGTTAATGACAAAGTCTCGTGGAGACGGGGCAAGTGGGCCCAGACATGGGGAACCGCCGGCCGGCTACGTTGTCCTCGTCGAGGATCCCGGCCCTTGCGCAAAACGCATCATTCGAATAATCGCGGTCGAGTGTTCCCGTCGGCTCATTTTGCATTTCATCGGTCCCCGGATTCGCGAGCGGACGACGGTTCCCCTGGCGATCTCGGCACCAAACACCCCTCCCCCCTCCCTCCCACAACGATGCAACGCCTCACCTCTGAGTCTCCTTTATGCACGCCTTGAGGTACTTAAGCTCGTTTATGTGCGAGGTGGTGATCTGGTCGGTCTCGCCCAGGACGCGCCTCATCTCGTCGTGGAGCATCTCCTGTTTGTCCGGGTGGAGGGCAAGCTGATACAAGACCGAAGCGACGGAATTGGAGGTCTGCCCGCGTTAATAAGCAATAATTCCATCGTCAGGAGCTTTATTTTGCGATTATGGTTTTGGTAAGCGTAAGCCGTGGGAGCGGCTCGATACTCGTCAATATTCGAGGACTTACCGTGTCGATACCAACTAGAAAGAGATCGAAGGCGAGTACCGTAGCAAGCTGGGTATTCCCCTCGCTCGCCAGCACACGCTCCAAAAGCGAAAGTTTATCTTGCGTCTTTGTGGAGAGTTTCGAGCGCTCGAGGGCCAGCTCCGTGAATTTGGACGTTGTGCTGCGAAGCGAACAAAGAAAGATGAAAAGTCAAGGATTTTGTTAAGTATCTAATATTTGATGGTGCGCGCACTCTCTCTCTCCCCCCCTCCCTCTCTCTCTCTCTCTCTCTCTCTCTCTCTCTCTCTCTCTCTCTCTCTCTCTCTCTCGTAAATCCAAACATGAATATAATGCCACGAGATTAGATAAAGGAGATACGTGAATCTTTCACCTCAATATCACATCGAGGGCGCTGATATATTTTCGCCAGGTGGGTGTGTTAAAGAACTTCCAGAACGGAATCTTCAGCTCCAGCACGCCCACGTTCTTGAAGAACACGAGGACCGCGTTGATGAGTTGTTGAATTTCGGGTGGTGCGTGTTCCTCGTCTAAACATCCCAATCGGACATCGAGAGCCACCCGAGCTATCGCTGATTGCCATTAGGAGAGAATCAAGTTTAATGCTTTTATCGTGAAAAATTTTTCAATCCTATAATCTAATATTCCAAATGTTAGGCCATTTCGCGCGCTACTCAACCATCCACGAACTAACAACAATCGCACGAAATCCACTTAATAATTTGCCTTCATAATTGTGAAGAAACTTCGGTCGAACTTTCCAAACAAGGCCACTAAAGCATTAACAGAGTTTTTAAAATTCGTGCTAAGCACGTACGTAGTACATCGTAAGCGTAAGATATTTTGTAATCGTAGTGTAAGTAACGTAACATTACCTCACCGCCGTGAAAAACTAAACCAATTGTCTATTACAACGTGAAAAATTATTCAAGCACTTAGGAGCGTGCGCGTTACTTACATTCCAGGGACCATTTGTGAATTTCATTTAGAAAGTTTTCAGGCACCTCGTCCTTCTCGTCTTTTATCTTCTCTATCCTAAACAAAAATATAAGTATATGCAATGCACGTTCGACGTAATCAATAAGCGCATGACCGGTATGATGGATTATTACGTTGGCAAAGGGAGGAGCGTTGGGGTCATGAGCCATTGTGCATGAAGAAAGCGGCAAGCGGTGGGAATTGTAAGAGTCGCTCTGCGTTTTATGCTTTATGCTCGAGATGATATTGAGCGAACGGCTGATATATATTTGCGGCGAGTAAACGAAAACGCGACTTTCTCCGCTCACTTCAATCAACCCTCGACGAAATTCGGTCCAATTCTAGCTTCTTAATAATTCAGGTTAAAATACGAAGAGAATCTTCCGTTTGTTTAACGGTTTAACTTATCGATTCCCATGGCTTCGGCAACTTTAAAGAATCTTTATTTATTTATAGTTTCTAATCAAACATTACAACACCCAAGCACATGTGTATTTGAGGAAAGATCGTACAAATACAGGAAATTGCGTTCGTTTACATTTTGGAAAATTTAAAGATTTTCCAGATATATTGATCAGAAAATTCATTATACATTGCATACGTTAGGTGACGAAAGTTTACATATATTTTACTGTCCTTGGCATGTAATATTTTCTTTTTTTTTTTGTATGCACAGCCAACTTATAATAATTCATAATTTTATAACTTTTATAACACTTTTATTTGACGTGTTAAAAAAAAAAACAGTGAAGCGACATAATTTATAACGTGAGATATTAATATAGTAAATAATAATTAATGTCAACTAAATAACATAATTTTCTTCCTATCTTACTTACACCCATATCAATAATTATAAGTATAAATTATTAATAAAAAATATTATAACATTAATCTATCACTTATTACCGTTTTTTTTTTTTTTTTTTATTTTTTTTTTAATGTTTATTCAATCATTTTATTATCAAATAGATAAATTAAAATTTATCGTAGATGATGAGAAGATGATGATACTCTACGTAGATGGTGATTGAGACTTTGAATAATATTAAGGTTTTATAACTGACATATGTGAACAAAATTTTGCTAACATTCGCACGGAATTCTGAAATATAATTCTATCGTTATTTTTTTCTTTTTCTTTCTTTTTTTTTTTTTTTTTTGCTATATTTTTGTATTATTGATTATTCAAATAAGCCATTTAAAATAATAGATTTTTTCAATATTATGTACGGCTTTAACATAGCTATTTTCTTCAATGAATTTTAGCTTTCAACTGCTTAAATATTCATATTTTCTCTTTTGCTTTAAATGTGAATTGTTGTGAATATAATTAAACTTTCTTCACTACACTGTGCTTGAGTCTAGATCAATTATGTATGGTATACGTCCATTGTTATTATTGATAAACTCGATAAGATTTTCCAACGTTAAATTGTAGACGACAGGTCATCTTGTTTTAATTATCTTGTCATTTGTTTGTTTATTTTTTTTTTTTTTTTTTTTTTTTTTTTTTATAGATGTTTATAAAGCAAATATTCAATCACTACTCGTAAATCTATATACTAATAAAACTCTGACTAACAATATCTATCCGTTATAAGTTCACATCAATAATGCCTTTATAATAGTTTGTACGCAGAACTATTAAGAACTATTAACTAATAAGATATGGAGAAACATTTAGAAAAATTTGGTAATAGTGACGTATATTTACAACCAATGCGGTTCATCTTTATGAATATGAAATTATTAAAATTTATTCAAAGCCTAAGAGTGCAATCACATACGCATCGAACGAATACGTACGATTAAAATTTTTTGAAAAAATTAAGATTATAAAAACAATCGTAACGATTAGCAAAAAAGCGCACATTTTAATAAGCGTAACAATCATGCGACCTCGTGTTCGAAAGCAGATATGAACTCAGTGACGACATTATGAACATTTGTACCTCTCGATAAAAGCTCGACTGGCATCGTCGATCGTCTCGGTATACATACGAGCCGTACGTGGTTGCAGCATCACCTGCTGGACTTTGCTCCGAAAATTGTACCAGCCCTCGCCGTGTCTGTCAACCATAAGGAACATAAATTTTTTCAATTATATATGAAATTTCATACGGACTTTCTTTAGTCAATATTGGACTTTAGCAATAACTAAGTTTGCTAATAAATTCAGGCCTCCAATTACAATAATTATTGTTCAACGATATTCATTATCTATAAAATTTGTTACAGAATTGTTAATTAGAGTTTGTGTATAATGAAGTTTATTGAGAATAAGGTGAGATTTTTTTAAATTGTCATTGTATAATACGAGTTTCTAGCCTTACGTGCTAAATATAAATCATCTATAGATTATCAGATCGCTCGTTTAAAATTGTTTCTAAGCTACTCGAATTGTAAAGGAAAGTAAAATTTATACGAATTCATCATGGTAAAGCAGGACGCGGCTGTAATAAAATAGATGACTCTTGTTTTATTACAGTTACTTTGATATTACCAGAAGCTACTTTATAAGTAATTTACTTCTATTTAATGAAACAATAAAATCAAATGAAAAAAGTTATCGATCGAGTTTTCAGTATTATATTTCATTTAAATATTTGTAAATACATATCAGCTATCTCCATTACATTCATAACAATACGAATGTAAAAAAATAGAAATAGTTTTATCATAATTATAATAATAATGCTATAATATAAAAAATGCAGATATAGTTGTAGAAGTAAATGTAATTAATTGGTGTAAGAATTATTCTTGTGAATGTGTTAAATTTTTATTACTTTATACGAGACTAAGATAAAACAACGATTATATTATTCGTTAATTATAAAAAATAATGTAACCAAAATTAAAAAGGTTCCTTAGATTTTCACGATTAAATTTATTTGATATCACGACTATAGAGAATATTAAATGCAAATATTATAAAATATTATTTGGATATTTGTTTGAAATATTTCTTGAAAAAAGTAGAAAAATATCTACGACATTTAAAAGATTCGTTAAATTAAACTGTTTTTTATAAAAATTTTTTTCAACACGATATGAATCACCTCAACTTTCTAGCTCAACTGAATATGATCTATTAAAAAAAAAAAATTAATTATTATTAAAGAAAAAGGTTCACCGTAAGATCTACCGATGCTTTGTTTTTTTTTAATTTTTTTCTTTTTTTTTTTTTTATCACGAATGACTCACGATCAGTCGTTTGACGTTTTTAATTAAAAATAAAGATAAATTAGTCGCAATTAAAGATAATTTTTTAAAAAAAAATTTACTTTTCACATAATACGTAACGTGTCGCGTAGAACTGAGTTCGATAATCCATTCTATATTAAACTAAACAATTAGAACATTACAAACTACTTTCTATACACTCTGCACAGATTTCAGGAAATTACTATTAAAATATCGGATTGATCGCAACTGATATTCATAGAACGAAATTAACCGCCAGACCTTACGTACTTAAATGTCCATAAAAGCAACATTATACGCTTATATAACGTATATTGTAATTTCATTGTCACATAATACAGTATTGCAATACTTAAATTATCTTCGCGTAAGATATTTCGCCGCGAGAAAAGATCTATTGAAATTCGCTTTTAAACTCACACGGCAATAACACCAGGATTCTCGTTGAAAATATCTTTGCGCAACACGTGCTTGTAGTAATCAAGGGACGGCATTTTCGGTCGATGTGGCATCCGCTCCTCCTGCCGGAAGATCCGCTCGATCTCGTCGGCATCGTATACAAAGACCATGTCTGGACGATTGAGTAGGCCCTCGACTTTAACGATATCGCCGTATTCCTCGTACAATCTCCTTGACACTTTGTCAACCTCGTGGATCTTGAAGTTACCTGGACGCGAGGGCAGGAAGCATCGTAAGAAACAAGAATTTCACGAAATATGCTTTGTAAGAGAAGGAGAAAAAAAAGAAAGAAAGAAGAAGATTAATGCTTGGATATGGGTAGATTGAAAAATTTCTTTTTACAAGACTCCGCGAAACGCTAAATATTGGTTGTAAATGTTGTTAGTATTGTTGTAATGGCGCTCAGCTTGTCTGTGTAATCAGGAAATAAATTTAATATTTCATATTTTAACTTCCTACCTTAGAGAAAGCCACTACTAATCAATTATGTTTGCATTTAAATTTCTTCTGCTTTGCGACAGTTTATTTCGACGTATTGAAAACAAATATTGTTTATTTTACTCGTTTAGTAGGCGGTGACAATAAAGTAAAGTCCACTTTAAGAGTATAATTGAGACTTCAGAGACATAGCCATTAAAAGTAGTTTCACAACGTCGTAATAAAAATGTAAAATTTCTGTTTTTATTGATACTCGTAAAATTGTTAAAAAAAAAAAATCTACGCTAATTCGTCAATATTTGAAATATTTACGACAACATTTGTATGTAAAGTTAAAGAATATAAAATGTCGCCAATTATTCTATTGCTATATTCTCATGGGATTTTAATTATAATGTAATTATGTATATTTCATTAGTATATAAAAAAAAAATTGCATTAATATACTCATTATGTTATATTATAATGTCAATTATAAATAAATCCCAAATATCATATCCTGTACGTATTAATTAGCATTGAATAAAACATAAAACATTGTGTTGTATTGTAGTAATTAGTATTTATTATTGCATCTTAATTTTTTTTTTTTTTTTTTTTTTTTTTTTTTTTTTTTATTTAATAGTTAATGCGTAAGAACAAACCTCTTGGAGATATTACGGGTTTTCACTTTCTAAGAAGTTATTTGTTACGTACGTATGTCAATGCGCGTACATTTGGGCATCCACGTTGTATACAATCTAAGCGGGACGTGAGAAAAAGAATAGAAGAGCCGCCGTAAATTTGGAGAGTCGAGGTCCAAGGGACTCGAAACTATGCGTGGAAAACTATTACAACATGGCTTTCTGCGCCACGTGTGTAATTTGAATAAGTAGGAAATATTTACCTGCTTTCGACAAGTTTTGGAGTTGTGATTTTCAGTTTACCCGTGAAAGGTGACAATTGGAGTGAAAATCCATGACTGAGTATCCGATAAAAGCTAATGTACAATACTATGCTAATACACATCGTACGCAACTTATGATAATTAACTCTATTCTATAAATAGTTCGTTTAATCATTACTATAATTTATTTTATAGTCAAATTATTTTCTGCAAATTTTATTTTTTCTTCGGTTATTCTCGCTTCTCCCTCGTGCATTATAACGAGGTGTTTTAACGTTTGTACAATAGTTTTTTAATTTTATAATCGCGTGTACAAATTACTACCTTTAAATTGCCAAAGAATTAATGAATTTAATATTTTAATATTATATATATATATATTTTTTTTTGGATAAATATTTCCTTTAACTCATTGTAAAATTCGTGGTAAATTAATTATTTGCCTGTTAAACAGAAGTCTGATTGTGCGATTAATTGAATAATTTATTCTATGATCATAAATAGTTCATATTAATAGAGTAAAAGTTTTCATTAGTTATGCAGAGCTTTACAAGTACGATAGCTATATATTTATTGTCTTGTGTATGAATATGTATATAATTTAAAAGAAAAGAAAGATTGTAGAAAGTAGTGGCAAATTAACGGTATTTTGTTGGAGCTCGTAGTATTGTACGCTACGTAATAATTATTAAAGATTTTGTTTATGCGGGTGTGCTATTAATTTACTTTAACATTTATCTCGATAGAAGGTTAACGTTATAGATCTGATTATTAAAATTTGAACGTCTGCATGCATTTTAGATATTATCAATAATAAGTGACGAATGATCGAGTAAACGCCGAATGCTCAATATGTGCAAATAATTATTTTTTTGTACAATGAAAACTATTATGCTTTACTCGGATTTAGTTGTTACTCTTTAACTCTTACCATTAATTATTCCAGACCATATTTCTCTTTATTATCCAATCTTTAAAATTGCAAATTAAACATCGCGGGCGCGCGCGCGCGCGCGCGCGCACACACACACACACTTACAAATATTAAATTTATTTCCATACAATGTATACAATGTATTTTCATGTACTATACGTTACTACATCCTATTTGTAATAATTTCTGCTAATTTAAAGATTTTTAAACATTCTCAAGCCCATTCCCATGTTTATAATTGCTTCATCTCTGTGGCTAATTATGACGCGGATAATAATCGATCGATAATACAGAAAACTCACAGATATATTAATATTAATAAATAAAATTAAAATTAAAATCTAATTGTTGATTAGCGAGACTTTCTAACGGTGATCTTACCAAGCTACATTGAAAGACATCACATTTAAGTATTTTCATCGCACAAGTTTCATATTTATAAGCCATATAAAAGATATTAATAATCTCCATGAATTTGCCATGCCCGATTAGTATTATAACTAAAGTATCATGCCCCTTTGAATTTAGCAAGACTGTAAAAACCATCGATACTATTATTTTTCCTCTCCCTTCGAAATACGAAGCGTCCACTTAGGGACAAATCCATACTTAGTCGTCGAGAAGGAATATACGTGAGGCATTACCGATGAAGGGTATAAATCTCCAGGTGTTGCCCAAAAAAGGTATGGGTGTTGGTCCTGGCATTTCGGCGTAAGGCCTAATCCGGCCCACGTCGGTCGCCAATGTCTCCATCATTCGCCTCAACATCCTCGTAGTCGTCGGCTCCGTACCAAAGGTAGATGTGACAGCGCCGGTGCGCGCTGCTAATTGAATGTTAAATGAAAATTTTTAGAAACACGGGCGGACGCGCTTAGAATGCGCAATATCACTTTTAATTCCCTAAGCGAGGAATCTTTCTGAGAAACCGAGGCGGATAATGCGATAAGTAATTCCCGGACGGAGCCACGGGTTTTTGCAATTTTACTTTACAATTGCCGATTATTATCGTGCTTGCATAATAACTTTCATGACTTTTACTTATTAAAAGTAGACCAGTGCTTCCTTACCTGATTTTTGGCAATAACTAGTCATTATCCATTATATAGCAATTAAAGTTTAATAATTAAAAGCTTCGAGACTACTTGATCGTCCAAATATTATACATTCCGAGAAATTGACATTCTAATAAAAAAAATTTTTTTTTACAATGTATTGTATAGAGTAACTTTAAATTTCATCAAATATCAAATTCAAATAAATATCTTTATAAGAGAAATAGCGAGCATAATTTTTATACGGTGTATTAATATGAATTATGTGTCGTAAGATTTTACGTAGTTACGTTAATTACTATTAATAGACTTAACACGCATCACTTCAATTGCACGGCATATAAGAACTTTTATAATTCATAATTCAACTAAGTAAATATACGTGTGTTAAGATAAGCAATTCGTTAATATGAAACGGCATTATGAGGTGCTTGTACATCTTAAATTAATTGTAATCGAGGAAACAACCAGTAAAGACCGCAGAGTTGCTGCATCATTGTGCAGTTAATTTATCCTATACAGTCATATTGTTAATATAGTTTTTGAAGAATAACCCATACAACTGCACATTTCCTCAAACTCGCTAATTTATATGTATCGATTAATCTCGCTATCATATAAATTTCTTATTATCATTTCTGTTTCACTTATCATTTATATTTATACTTTCTATTCGTTGTTAAATAGAAAGTTATTGTACTGTGGTATTATGATTACATGACAATATTGAAGAATATTATTATCACGTAACATTATGAGAGTATTCGAGATTTTTAATAATTGTCAATAATATTTATAATTCATAATAATACACATGAATTGCATCATTTATGCATGTTTAACTTGATTATTAATACAATTTTTCTAAGTTTAAGAATTGTTCCTTATTTTTAGATGAAATCTATTTCAACGTATTATCGTTATAAAAAAAAAAAAAAAAAAGAAGAAAAAAAAGAACAGAATTATATTTCGTCCAATAATTCAACAATACGAATTATTATATAATTGATTTCTTATCTAATATTTAAAATGTTTATAATTATTCTAAACAACACGTTTCACAAAAAAATTAACTTTTTAACTATCACTTTTTATTTTACGTAATTACATATTATCTATGATTAATATGTTTAATTCATAATTATAGCAAATGTAGAGTTTCATTTTATTATATAATTTGTTGTATTATACAAAGTAAAATATCAATCGGTTGTCCTTGTAATTATTATTTTGATCAAATTTAACGGATCGAACGGGTCTACTTCTTCAGTACTTCCGTTAAAATGTTCGAATAAATGTTGGAATTTTCAATAAATTCTTTGTCAGATTTACGTCCATTGCCAATACGTTAATTCGTGACAGCTCGATCGAAAATTTTTATCAATTTCATTTCAATACGTCATTAAAACTACATAGTTTTATATTAATTATCGTAAGCCCGTGAATTATATAAGTATGTGGATCCATGGTCCTGCCAGAAAATTTCCAAAAAAATTTGCAAGCCTGGCATTTTTACAGATCCTTTTTGCATAATACATCTCGCACATAATGCCAGCGCAGAAAAAGTATATTTCCAATTATAACGACATACCGAAGCGGCCGACAATTGTCGTCATTGCCGAGCGAATCCGTCACCCAGCATAAAAAAAAGGGCCTGAATGGTATGGATAGTAGAGGGTGGGGGGGGGCGAGAAGGCAGATCCAACCGCTGCTCCTCTTACGCAATAATTTGCAGGACGTAGAACGTATGTACACGGCACCGGCTAGACGACACCCAGCGAAAGGCACGTAATCGGCTCTTCCGTACCGGGATTGTGTCGCTTGTCCACGCGTCTGCCGCTTCAACCCCTCATTATGCGCTTTGCACTGCAAAATATATTAATAAACAATAGGCGAGATCTGTTTTACAGCCGAGAGGTTTGCTTTGCGAGATTAAGCACGCGCCGATGAATAAGGATTCGGGCAGAAAAGAGTGCTAGGCTCTTTCCGGCACGCTATGCCGATTAGATTTCAAAAGTTTACAATAAGTTCTTTCACTTTTCACTCGACGTGTCTGCATTAACAAATCTCCGTTATCGTTATGTCAGTCTAGGCATAATAATATCGAATCACTTGCATAACGCACGCTGGCAAAAATGTAATCGAACAAATGCAATTATCCTAGTTGAAAGGCTGCTTGTAATAAGGGAAATCGAAAATCTAATTTCCTGAATTTTTGTAAAGAAATATGTGCTTATTATACGTGTTCCCTTAAGGCGTTGCCTAATTTTCAACTTCAGTCAACTTCACTGAGCTTAATAAGCGCTGATAAAGCTTGGCTAGCGATAAATTGTTTATCTGGATTCTAATAGTGCAATACAACCTATTAACAATGCTCGAATAATCATCGTAAACAAAATTAGGCTCTTTTGACTTCTGAATAAGTGAAAGTAAAATTGTAAGCCACGGTAAAACTTTATTAAATCCCGTAGAATATAATTTTTTGTTTGAAAATTTTCCATTATTATAATGCAAAATAATCGCTTTACTAAGTATCGTTTTATTTCATTATCTCATCAACGCTTAAGTTATTTATTTCTGTGTAAAATTTGAAAGTCGTTTGGACCTTTTAAAACAAAAAGAAAATATATTATTTCATTATCAAAAAAAAAATATATTATATGATTTTTTAAGCAATAATGTCTTAATTTGACTTTTACCAATAATAGCGCGAATAACATTTATCATTACATATGTTTTTGGATGCAATTGGAATAAATATTGTTTTTTCTTTTCAATCACAACGCTAAGAAGAACTAAATTTATTGCAATCAGATTAATTCTACGAGACTCGTTTTTTCCTTTTTCCTTTTTTTTCCTAAATAAAAGCACATATTTACATTCTCGCCGATATTTAAAAAATAATCATATACTTTATCACCAATGATTTTGTGAATGAAAAGCAATGAAAGTACTTTGAAAAGTTAAAAATTAAAATGCGAATGCAAATAACCGTTCGCAAATAGTATAAATGGAAGGGAAAACTATCGTAATATGGATCTTGGATTAACTCGATCAAGGAATGAAAATTTTCTATAATAATCATGAATTTCTAAACGTAAAATCTCAAATGATTAATGGTGCTAATTGACGGAGCGGCTAATTATTCCGACGGTTCGGAAACCACCAGAGATAATTTAATTAAATGGTCATATTATTGTAGAAATATTGCCAAATCCTCGTTTGAATATTTGGAGTAAAGACACGAAACTGCCAACAAGAAGAGTTTCAGCAGGTCATAAAAAATTAAGCAAACATAAAAAATAAATTAATTTTTTACCTGTTGCACGCTACGTATTAAATATCAAAAAAACAAAGCATCGAAATGATATGTAATCGCCGTCGGCTTAAATGAATCGGACAGGCAAACTGTCTTCCCTATTTTCACTACTTAAGTACTTAATCGGAAGAAAAGAGAGACGTATGAACTCACGATCGCGGTCACCGAGTATTATTCAAAACCAGCGCTATTAGTTGATAATATACTTCTGAGGTTCACCGACGTTTTGTATGTCCGTCCGCGAGCTCGACGGTCTCTCGGCGCAAGCGCGAGGAGACGCCGCGAGGTGGGAAAGTCGAGGCGGGAGGAGGAAAGCACACGGATATTAAAAACTCACGATTTTATTTATTATTGTTTGGGAGTCGGGAGCCGAAACCTATTTGTGGTGGATATTATTTGCACGAGTTTGCTCTGGGTTAATGTTCGGAATGATAAATTAAAGGGTAAGAAATAAATGTTTTGTTTTTGTTTCTTTGTTACGATTGCCGCTCATCTAGCCTGCTTTTTTCAACTTGGCAGTTGATTTTTTATTTTCAAATACAGAGAATTATAATAGCGACTATCCTTGTCCTCGAGTCTCGTACCACTTCGTTTTCAAATCCTTAGCAGCTGACGATATTTTATTCTTGTAATTTTTAACGATTTTGTTGAAGTTGATCTCGTCCGCGTCCGGCTTCTTACTGCCTTGCTTCGGCTTTAAAAATAGGAAAGAAAAATCAATGAGACATTGAACGTTCGCAAATGACATGCTAATAATAATGCCCGTGCATGTACCTTCATGTTCATTTTGTTCAATCTCTGCTCCTTCTTCATCATTATCAATTGCTTGGTGGTCCTCAGCCTCCTCTTGCGCTCCTTCATGTTATCGTTATGGATTTGCGCCTGTTTCTTCAGGAAGAATTTACTATTCATTTTGTTAACGCCAATTTTACTTGTCGTACCGACGAAAGATTCCACATCTTCGTTCTCTGCATTTTCGGACGACCTTCTGCTCCCCGACTGTTTTCTCCGCTTCGCGCGTTCTTTACTTCCTTTCACTTTGTTGCTTGCCACTTGGTTTTTTTCGCCTTGCTTATCGTAATTATTATACAAAGGGTTGCGCTGTCGGCTGTTTTCGATTCGTCGTTTTTTCGCATTCACCATTACTCGATTTTCAATTGAGAAAGCAACGATGGGCCTCTGAAAGCAAATACACGAATCCAAGACTTGTGATTTAGGTTTTTTGATAGGCGATGGCATTAATGAGTGTATACGCTTATTTTAATGAAATCAATACCCAAAAGGAGAATGACCGTTAAAGTTTTTAGTTTAATCAATATGTTTCCTCGAATTTACAATTAACAAACAATGCCATTAGCCTCTATGGCTGTAGTAATTTAAATGAAATAAAACAATGAAATTATCATTTATTTTTAATTAATTTAATTATACTTTGGCTTAGAAATAATGTAAATCTTTTGATATTGTTGTTATCAGTGCATTTTTGACTTCACATGCATTTAATAAGATACAGATAATAAATAATTTACATTCCATACTAATCGTACGTATATAATATATATATATATATATATATATATATATATATATATTTATATATATGTATATTGAAAACTTTTTTACCTCTAACGTCAGATAAATTTTATAAATTTTTATTCTAATTATATCTAATTTACGATATTCAAACAAAAATTGTACAAAAAAGTATAAATTTTTATTTTATTTACAATACGATAAAATGACTACGACATTTAACATAAGCCTTAAAAGCCAAGTGGTATTGTAAGCTTCGAGAGTTTATTTAGAAAATCTAATTATTTCGTAAATATAATTAAATAAGGGTATGTAAAAAATTATTAAACGATAAATTCTGACAGAAAATGAAATCTTAATAATTATCGATCGATCGTATATATTAACATAAAATTAAACTGCTTGTATAAAATTAACTATTTATTTACGCAATTGGCGCAAAGTATAAAATCATGACCTAATCAAGTTTATAACCGATTAAAAATCGTAATGAAAAATTGAAGTATGTCCTCATTAAAAGTGATTAATGATTATCGTTTCAATAGCTATAGCAATGCGGGGATGTTAAGTATTCAAAAAGCGTCATATAAAATATTGTTTTACAACTATGGGATTCATATGGTCATGGTAATTGCTGGGTTGTCTACTAACCTTGGCTTTTGAGAAAATATTCGGATTGTTGTTAATGCTCCTAAGCGCATTGAGAGCATCCTCGTGAAGTTTGAAGGATACAAAGCCATATTCTTTGGACTTGCCAACCTTATTAGCGTCTACGTTCTTTAAATTTCGCATCACACGAGCCTGAAACGAAACATTCATACAACTTCTTTCAATTTTTAGACGGACAGATAAGAATCGGTTGCACTGGATAAAGCGATCGACGTTTTTATCTCGCCTTTAAAAATTCTAATAATGAAATTTAAATTAAATTTTTAATATTCCAATACGAATGAATGATCACGGAGTTCTAGCAAAATTAAATCATCTTTATTTTACATTTATTAACTTTCCCTTTACATAATGGATTTCCTTGTACAGATACCGATATCGGCTATTGCTTTATATTAATTATATTACGCTCTAGTGCAATTGGATTTTAAAATATAATATTGTGCATGGATGTTATTTTGTTGCTTTCGTTAATTAATACGAAGGTAAATCTAAACTTTCAGAATTTAAGTTTTACAAGATAAAATATTTAAAATAAATTTGACATTGTTCAAATGCTCAGTTTTATGAACAGTTTTATGAAGAACATTTATGAATATTTTTATCTTCGTTAATTTTTTCTGCATAAACGATCATAATATACGAACTACTTAATTAACGTGCGAATATTATATTTCTTTTTTGCTTTTCTTCAAAGCGACGCCTATGAATTTGGGCTTTAATTTTCGGTTCGTCTTATTTTTGTTTTTTATTTTTTATTGCCAATACTATTATAAAAGAGTCTGCCTTTGGCACACAAAGTTTTTATTTATACGCGCTAAAACGTTTATTATTTAACCGTATTAATATTTTAATAGTATTTTAATAAAGCACTCGAAGCACTAACACATGGATAAGAAACTTTATACGATATTATTGCAATTAACGAATATTAATTATAATACTAAAATAATATCAATGTTTTATAATTAAAATGTTTAAAATCATTATTTGCTCTCTAAGAACAAGAATTTGATAGAAAGTCAATATTAAATACGACACGGCGAAGGCAAATGTTTTGATTGTAAACCACGTAAAAGAGAAATTTTTTAAACATATGATTTTTAATTCAAACAATTGTATTAATTTTAATAACCATGCTTTCCAGAAATTCAATTGGAAATACACATTTTGTTATTATAAGCCTTATTGAACGAACAATGTGAGATGAAAGTTTTATAAAAATAAGCCCGAATAAACAAAAATTAAGTAATTGGAATCAGTCGTACGAAAATATTTCAATTTGAAAATACGGTAATTAATATATAGAATCGCTAGCGAGGATTTTAAATGAACATTCGTTCAAAAGTCCCATTACTTCTCTCAAATGTCATTATGTATAATTGAGCATTATAATGTTATTTAGTCAAATTCGAAAGATGCCTAGATTATCTTGTTCCGTGAATTACCTTCGCAACAAAATAAAATATCGAGGGAATATGATCCGCAGAGATATTGCACTACGAATATGCCACACTTCTCTGCAAATTAACTGAAAAAGTGGCATATTAGCATTTTATTAGGAGTCGTAAAGTATGTTTACCTCGGTAATTACCGCTTTTGGATTACTATGATTTTTAAAGAGCTGGCGTAGCTTAGCGTCGTCGGTACTCTCCGGCAAATTATGTATGACTAAACGGACTCTCGAAACGAACATATTTAAATTTCGTAACATTTGCGATTTCCATTGCTCGAGCTGTAGTCGGTGTGCCATGTCCGAGGCTGATACGTCTTGAGCAGCTGCCGAACCAGCAAAAACCACTGCGGAATACATGTAATACTGGCCATATTAGCTGTTATACTTTGTGAAACAGATTTTTAATCCACTGTTCGAGCTTACACGAGCGTTGCACAAATGTTTTATTTTAATTTTTTAATTAGCATTCTAAATTAGCCATCTAAATTATACAATAATATACGAGCTGATTTTTGTAATATTATAATTCGATAAAGGAGCAGTCACTTCGAGAGTTAAAAACTTTATTTCATTTAATATATGTATTTTAGTTTCACAATTACGCTGTTATGAAAAAATTTGGAAGATTGTTTTATTGGATGGTAATCTATTGTCATTGATAAAAGCACTCTTTAGATTATAATTTTATAACGATGAAAAAGCAAGTCATGGACTTTTAAAGCTCGAGAATAAAAGTATTTAAAATTTTATCGATGAGCCTTTGATAAATTTTTATAAATTCCTCTCATACTAAGGAATATAAAGAAAAAGTATATTGACACGCAAAAATAACAATTCATTATTTAATTTATATGTTATTTCAATGACGATAAATATCACATCAATCGATTGTAGCATTTCATTTCAACAGATGAATTTAATCTCCAATATGTAATATTATGTGAAATTAAAATTGTTATGTATACTTAGATTTCATTTTATAAAAGTCGTCTTATCTTCGTATATTGCAGAATGTCCGACATTCAAACTTTTGTTGTCAACGCTGTATGTTTTATAATTATTAATTTGTAAAACAATAGATAATAAGTCGCATTAAATTGCATAACTCACCTCCTTCTTTCACTAAATAAAGATTTCTCGAATCTTTAACAGTATTCTTCTTCTGTTCAGCTTTTACTTTTATTTCATCTCTATGAAGTGCTTTGTGCGGATCGAGAACCTGATCATGTATTTTTAATTCCGTTCCTGCTGCCAAGCATTTTTCTGCATCCTCTATATTCTGTAAAATTTACGATGATTTTACTCGCTAGTTTAAAGTAACTTTTAGCATTGTCTTTTAACAATAAATATTAATAAAATATATTACTATAAATTTAACAAATGCCGTTCCTTTCGAATGCTCTGTCAATCGATCGATACATATTAAAGCATAATAAACTGGTCCAAATTGTAGCATGCATTCTTTAAGAATTTCATTTGTTGCGGAGAAGGGAACGTTCTTTATAAAAACAGTTTTGCCTTCGTTTACATCGTTAGAAATCCGTCGAGGATGAGGGACCGTAGACTCATTATCAAATTCTAACTTTATGTTTTTTTTATCATCGGTACCTTCAACATCATCGTTATCTTCGTCATTGCTAAATTCATCCCTCTTATTATCATCAGTTTCTTGTTTAGTATTGTCCACTTCCTCTTTGATTCGTTCTTCGTCACTGTCAATTTCTTCCTTAATTTTGATTTCATTTTCATTATTTTCAGTCTCTTCTTCTTTTATTGATATTTCAGCATCCTTATGTTCTTCTGTATTACAGTTTGCATTTTCACTGGACGTTTGAAATTTATTTTTCGGAATGGCCCAGTCTATGATTATTGTTCTACCGAGAAAGGATTTCATATTTTCATGATGCACAGTTTGAGCAGCGCTTTGTACACGATCAAATTGTACAAAGCAACAGCCCGTTGGAGTTCCATTGGGTTTTGTTAAAAACTTTAATTCTTCGATATTACCATATTTCGTAAAATATTCCTTTATAGATTCCTCACTGGCTGTAAAGGGCAAATTCCTAATTATGATTCTCGATCTTTTTTGCCTCTTTTTTATTTTTTGCAATTTCCTCAGCTCTGCTTTTGATCTTTCATGGTTCTTTGAAAATTTTGTTTTACTTTTATATAAATTTTCATCGTTATCCAACTCTTTTGTACTTTCATTTCTTAAGTTCTCATTCACTTCTTTTATTTCTTTGACTTTCAAGTTCTGAACAAATTCCGATTTTGGAATAGACCACTCGCAACTTATCGTACGACCTGTCAATAATATTTTAAAGCCTTATAACTTCAAGAAAAATGAAATTCAAAAAATTTATTTTATATATATATATATATATATATATATATATAATACCTAAGAATTCTGATTTGTTTGTTTTAAAAATAGCTTTGGAAGCATCATTTACATTTTTAAATTGAACAAATCCACATCCTACCAGCGTTCCATCCGGGCGCTTTAATAGCTTGATTTCCTCAATATCTCCAAATGGCTCATAGAGATGACGAATATTTTCCTCCGTAGTCTAGTTACAAATACAATATTTAATCATAATAACAATAATAACAAATGACTTGGGAACGTGAAACCGTAAGACTTACTTTGAAGGAAAGATTACGAATAATAATCCTAGCTTTTTTTATTTCATTTGTTGTATCCGCTTTATTTTTCTGCTTTATTTTTCCAGTTCTCTTCTTATATTTATACGTTCGTGTTAATTTATTCCTAAATTTGGTCGATCCTACGAATAAATAAATAAGTACAAACGATTACTTAATTACAAGTGAATTTATAGGAAATATCAATTACCTTGGTACGCTTTAGACATAATTTTCATCGAAATTTTAATAATGCAATTCTAAATTTTACTTTAATGCATCGCACTCCTCATTTTTATTATAACATTATTCTAGGTTATATTTTCTTAATTTTTTATCGACCACAATCCGCGTGGCGGCGAATGTACAATTAAGCTTCCCTACTGTTTACTTTGCTTAGTGACAGCGATATAAAATTCTTCACTGCCCGCACATATTAATACAACAAAAAAAAGAAACAAAAAAAAAAAAACAACGACAAAATCTCATAAATAAATATAAGATGTATAATGGATGTTTAAGAGACTTGTTGAATCGTCGGTGTGATTCAGTCTGAGCGATGCACTGGAAATTTATTCTTGAATCACGTGTGTGATTTTAGGTTATGTGTATTTACACGCGTGACAAGCTGACGACGTGTTTATAATAAATACTATTTGAAAGTAGTATACAATGCAGATCGATAGTGAAAAATCAGCGGACAATGTGAAAAGAGTCCTTTCGCGATTTAAATCGGATACCGGTGATGTTTTGCCCGGTGGCCTTCTCGATTTACCGGTGAATATCACAGTAGAGAAATTACAATTAATCGTCAATGCGTTATTGGGTGAAGATGATCCAGTCCCATTTGCATTCTTTATCGACGATGCGCAAATTACATCAAGCTTAGAAAATAATATCAAAGATTTTAACATCGATGAAAATGTCGTGGAAATTGTTTATCAACCACAAGCAATTTTTCATGTCAGAGCTGTTACTCGTTGTACAGGAACATTGGAGGGTATGATTCATGAAGTTTTTTAATGAAGGAAATCGTAACAATGTAAAAATGATAAAATATTTGTTCAGGTCATAGAGAAGCAGTGGTGTCGGTTGCATTTTCACCCAATGGGGAGGTGTTGGCTAGTGGTTCTGGCGATACTACCGTGAGATTATGGGATATACATACGCAAACTCCGAAGCTGGTTTGTGAAGGGCACAGACACTGGGTTTTATGTTTGGCTTGGTCACCGTGTGGCACTAAAGTAGCCTCTGCTTGTAAAAATGGAAGGATTATACTTTGGGACAGCGATACCGGTAAACAATTATCCAAAGATATGGTTGGACATAAAATGTGGATAACATCCTTATCGTGGGAACCTTATCACAGGAATTCAGAGTGCCGAAAACTTGTTAGCGCTTGCAAAGATACCGATTTAAGGATATGGGACACAAAACTCAGTAAAACATTATTAGTATTGGCGGGTCATACTCAATGTGTTACTAGTGTAAAATGGGGCGGGAGAGGACTGATTTATTCAGGATCTCAAGATAGGACAATTAAAGTCTGGAGAGCAGAAGATGTAATTATATTTGCAGAACGACTAAAGTTTTTTTTTGTTTATTTAATTAAAGAGATCATATTATAATTTAAATTTTAGGGAATACTTTGCAGAACATTAGAAGGTCACGCGCACTGGATAAATACTTTAGCATTGAATGTCGATTATGTACTTCGAGTAGGACCGTTTCGGATTATACGCGATGAAAATAATTCCACTGATCCTCAGGAATATGCTTTAAAGGAATACGAAGCTCTTGGCGAGGAAAAACTTGTATCTGGTTCTGATGATTTCACATTATTTTTGTGGAAACCGGAGAAGGAAAAGAAGTCAGTTGGTACGTAATTTATACTATTTCTAAATTAATTAATTACTCCATAATATTAACAAGCATATATCATTTAAATAAAAATGTAGCCCGCATGACTGGACATCAGCAATTAATAAACGATGTTAAATTTTCTCCAAATGGTCGAATAATTGCATCCGCTTCTTTCGATAAGTCCATAAAGCTTTGGGATGCTGTTACTGGCAAATACATTTCCTCGTTAAGAGGACACGTCCAGGCTGTTTATTCGATTGCTTGGAGCGCAGACTCTCGACTTCTAGTAAGCGGAAGTGCTGATTCGACTTTAAAAGGTAAGTAATATAATTATAGAAGCAAGTATTTATGTTCACAAGTTATTTATAAATTTTACTTCCAGTTTGGAGCATGAAGACAAAACAATTAAGTCAAGATTTGCCAGGTCATGGGGATGAAATTTATGCAGTCGATTGGGCACCCGATGGTATTAGAGTTGCATCGGGAGGGAAGGATAAAATTTTACGATTATGGCAAAATTAGAAAATAAAATGCTAAAAGTTTTCCATTGATTTTTTTTTCAACAACAATAAGTGTACATATGATATTTTTTATAAAAATGTAAAAAATAGGCCTTAACATTGATATCGAGTGTAATTATTGTATATTTCGAAGGCACTTATAAAAATTTGTAAAAAAATAATAATTGCTTATCTATTAAAAATTCTTTGTCGACAGATATCTTTAAAAAATTTCATAATTAAAACAGAATTTCACGTAATTATTGACGGGACGAGCACCAAACATAGGCGTTTTGAAAAAGTTTTATCCACGGTGAAGATTTGTACTTCCAATTCGCAGGTACCCATGGCATTTGCCAAGTTTGCGTACATCTTTCTGGATGTGGCATCATAGCCAAGTGTCGGCCATCTGAAGAACATATAGCAGCGATTCCGTCTATTAAATAAACAAAATATCACAATATCACAATAGCTGGTTTAACCATATATAATGTATATTGTGTATAAAATTGTAACATACCGATACTGCCGTTTGGATTTAATGGATATGACGTAGTTGGGGCGCCTTTATCATCAACATACTTAATGGGAATGCAATTTTGCTCTTTTAATTTAGCAAGGACTTTGTCGTTACGGAAAGTAAACTTCCCTTCTTTGTGCGCGACCCAAACACCAAACACATTTCCCTCCATACCTTGAAGCATAATCGCAGGTGATTTTTCAATTACGACGGTGCTCCATCGACATTCGAAACGCTCTGAATCGTTCTCAGCCAAAATAATATTTGGTTTTCCTACAATATAATCATTGAACATTATAACGATGCTTAACGGTAGGATATCTAAAAATCAATTAAATGTGAGCTATTACCATCGATAGAATTGCCAATCCATCCTAATAAACTCATCAGCTGACAGCCATTGCAAACTCCGAAACTAAAGGTATTGGGGCGAACAATGAATTTTTGCAATTGCTTTTGCAGCAAAGGATTAAACAGAAGACTCGCAGCCCAACCTTTAGCCGAACCAAAAACATCTAGCAAACGAATTACACGATTTTTATAATTGATATCGTTGGTAATAAGGTAAGTTGATTGCAAGCTTAACGCAATTGAATATTATGTATGTACCGGCATAGCTGAAGCCACCAGGAAATATAATTCCTTGGAATTTATTTAACGTTATTTGATAGCTCAAAAGATCTTGCATAGTAATGTCCCAAACCTCGAATCCAGCTTCGTACAAGGAAGCTGCCATTTCTCGGTCTCCGTTTGTTCCTTCTTCGCGTAATATGGCTACTGGTATGCTTACTTCACACACACACCCACACACACTGTTATTATGTACTATTCAAAAGAGTTTAAATGTAACAAATATGACAGATAACTCACAGTTTGATATTAATAGATGAGGCACGTCAGGATTAAAAGTAAGTTTATACGTCGGGCTTGTTCTATTTTGTAAATTTTCATATTCCTCTTTTGCGCATTTCATGTTAGTTTGACAAAGATCTAATCTAAAACTTGTTTCTTCCCATAATGTCATTAGTGATCCTACAGTGACATTTTCTAATACACACGCGTCGTTAACCAATACATTTATCTACACATAAAAGAAGAAGTTACTTGGCCATTAAAATTCAATGATCAATGGGAATGATTATTCGTTGATTATAAAAGAAACTTGATTTAAAAGAAAATACCTTCGATTCTGTTCCAAATTCAGTGGGGTTTCCTATTATGTGAGCAATAGGCGCACCATAATCATGAAATACCGAAAGTACATCTTCAACGTCATTTTTACGTACTTCTAAAACCCAGCCAATTTCTTCGGCAAAAAGGATTTCAATCGGAGAACCCGATTTGTGATTTATATTTACAATAATTCCAGAGATTCCGGCAAAACTCATTTCCAATATACAAGTTATAAGTCCACCGTCGCTGACATCGTGACCCGCCAATATTTTCCCATCTGTCAAAATGATTAAGAAAATCGGTATAATTCGATATCGCACAACTCTTAAAAACTCTATGATCTACGCTTTTACTTCTTATCCTCTTACTTTTAATTAAATTTTGCGTAGCTTTAAAGGCATTTTTTATCATCGAAGAATCTTCGACGTCGATAATTGTATCGCCTAATTGCTTATGAACTTGGTTGAATGCTGTGCCACCTAGACGACTCTTTCCAGCAGAAAGATCGACAAAAATCAAAGTGCTTTCTTCTTTTAAAAATGGTCCTTTCAAATCCGGGGTAACGACCTAGAAATTATGATTTATAATATTAAAATTACCGAAAACAAGTAATCGCCTCTTCATTAGCAAGTTCATTTCAGTTAGTTTGTTAAGAATGGAGGATGAGGAATCTGACATTCTGGGTCGCGAAATTCGTCAAGCTTGTAAATTCAAAAATTTCTCAAATAAACAACGAATTATACGACAAAACATATCGTTATTATGCTGATGATATTTTGCCGGTAAAAATTATCACAAACGGAAGGTGAAGTTTTCACATTATATACAAATTATCTTATCCAGTCATCACTTATTTAGTTATTTTTTCATTAATTTCACTATAACTGTCACAGTGACAGCTCATGAAAATTAATATTATTTTTAGTATTAATATGCATCGAGAGCTTCAATGACACTTTTTTTTAGACATTCGATTAAAATGAAGAGGAAAAGAAGCGGCATGTGTTATGCTGGAAAGTCCTACCTGTCTTATATCAGGACACGGTGCGTAACAAGATACCACCAAAGTTCCGGGTGCTTTGACAGCTTCGCCACGGCCATTGCGTGCAACCATACTAAGTGAATCCTTACCACCGTCCACGGCTATACCAAATTCCTTCATTATACTGCACATTGCCGTACAAGCGTCATAAAGAGCTGCTCCTTCGCCTGGCATTTTAGCTGGCCACATCCAATTACCGCTACATTTTACATCCTTGCGACAATCAATTTGATTTAATAAAATTAAAGGCCCATACATCGCCATTTATTTAATGGTTTGGGCGGGGGGGGGGTTGTTTTGTTTTCGTTTTTATAATTATTATCCCATTTATAATGGTTGAAGGAGTTGTCTCGTTTAAGCGATGCTTAAAGACTTATAGATCTTTTTTTCTCAATAATATTTGATCGGATTATTGATTTTTCTTATTGTAAATTTCAGTAATACATTATTCTCAATCCCCGAGCAATCATAAATTTTGTATTTAAACTTCAAATTTTGAACGATTGTTTAAAAGTGTTGTAAGATTTAAATTTAAAACAAAATTCATCATTATGTCAAGGTGTTGTAAGGAAATTTATACGAATCGTTGACATTTAAATACGTGTAAAACAATGACAATGTACCTCGAGGTTCGAGATACGAGCGAAAACAAGATTTGACAAAGCTTCGGCCACAGTCATTCTCGCACCCGCAGCTGGACTTAAAAGTCCTTTTATCGGCTGTTCTCCAATCGAAGTGGCGATACCAACCTGTAGCATTCAAACGTAGTAAAATTATCATACGTCATAAATAGTTAAGGTAGGGGTTAATTTAATGGTTTAATCTATTGGCTAAATCTAAAAGCTTACGGTATTGAAATGAGATATTCCGACGACGGCCACGTCGGCAAGTGGTGTATGGAGTGGACCAACGCATTGCTGTTGCGCTACGAGACCAGTGACGCAACGATCCACTTTGCTCGTTAAATATCGCTTGCTGGCAACTGACGGCAATCGCAAAACTAAATTTAATGCTTGCAAAATAGTTATGTTGGGTGTAGCAAGTGGATGCAAGACTATATCATGCCTTTCCAAATGAAACGTCTATGCAAATAATGAATTAGACATTGTTAATGATATTATTCATGTAACTTATATTTGTCGATTAATTTATAATTCAATGTACTTTTCGAGGCATTTTTCCGAGAACCAATTCTAATTCTAAATCTACTGGATGACGCCGTTCCGAGACATAATCCTTATTCATATAATTATTAATGTCGTAGCATTCTTCTTCCGAGAAAATGATCTTTCCAGTGCCCGTAACCGTGCCAACGCAGTTAACCGGACATTTCTCACGGATTCCAATTCTTTTAAGTTTAATAATATCTTCCTCTTTACATAAAATTGCATTGTTCTCTTGATATTCAGCGCCCCATAACTCTAACGAGCTAATACTGGGATCACCAAGTTCGAAACTATTAGAAAATATAACTGCTCCCGCTGGGTCCACTAATTCTTTCAGCACGTTACCTTAAATCAACATTAACAATATATAAGAACAATAATTTATCGTCGAATTAATTCTGCCTACCATTCCCACCAGCTCCTTGGTCATGAATACTGACAATGAGATTTTTGTCGCCCATCTCCATGCAAGCTCGAATCATTCGATTCAATTTCTGCTCCATTTCAGGATCGCCTCGCTGTACAGCTGCAAAGTCCATTTCAGATTCGTTGTCTCCTTGGATCTAAATAAGATTATTTTGTAATGTGATTGGAATGCACGAGTCATTTTTATTGGAAAAATTGTTATCATCAACAGCACTAGAATATACCATAACGGAACTTGCTGCGCCTCCACCAACGCCAATTCTATAAGCAGGTCCACCAATTTTAACAACTCGCATTCCTAGTGAATCAAAAAAAATTTTCTCGTTTCATTATTATCTTATAGTTGTTAAGGAATTGAGAATGTCAATTGCAAACCTGGTTCTGGAGGTAACTTTTTTGTCATATTTGCTTCCATCGAGCCTATACCACCACTGAACATAATTGGTTTAATCCACTCCCGTAATTCCATTTTGTTTGCATTATTAATATTGCAAATTTGTTTCATTCCAAATGAACGAACGAATCCTAATATAAGAGGTTCCCCAAATTTGTTGCCATAATCGGATGCCCCATTACTTGCTTCGATTAAAATATCGAGTGGCTTTGCCATATTGCCGTAGTTATTTTCCAATACTTCATCTTGCGAGCCTTCCCAATCTAAGGTATATCCTAGAATTTTAATAAATTAAAATATATTAGTCACCATAATCTCGTAATATTTATTTATATTTTTGTATGATTAACGAATTTTTTTCAACGAACGCTTACCTGGAATAAACAAATTCCCTACAGAGTAACCAGCTGTGCCAGCGATGTAATAACCTCCTCGGCCCACGCTTTGAATGTCTCTTAAACGACCTCCGGCACCAGTGGTTGCTCCACTAAAGATTAAATAATAAATTTACAGAGAAATACTATTGCTATATCTTCTATAATACATTTAAATAAATTAAAAATATACAATGTGTAAATAATATAGAATTACCTGAATGGTGCTATACCAGTTGGGAAATTGTGTGTTTCAGCGGTAAAAATGAGATGCTGAGTACTATCGAGTGTATAGAAGGCACTAGGCCGATCGGTCGACGAAGGGCGTAATACTTTCACCTCAAAACCTTCGATAGCACTGCTATTATCGCTAAATTTAATAACGTTATTCTGATTTGATGTATTTTGAGTATCAATTATTATATCCATAAGTGTTTTCTTTTCCTCTTTTCCATCGATGATGATACGACCCTTAAAAAACCAATGTCGACTGTGTTCACTATTCGATTGAGCCAAATCAAAGCATTCTACACTCGTTGGATTGCGTTTGAGTTTATTAGAAAATATATATGTATAAAAGTCTAAATCCCAATTGTCAAATGATAAGCCTAATTTGCAAAATATGGATGAATAAATATGTTAATATACATGTGATATGTTAATATCAAAAAATAATTGTTTATAAAATATATTACCTAATTTTAAATTTGCATCTTCTAATGCTTTTTTCCCAAGTTTATTTATATCAATTTCATACCATTTTTCCGGCCTGTATCCATGATCGAATGTCTCAATTGGATTCGTATATCGACATTCTGTCATTTTATCCAGAAGTAAATCAGCTATCTTAAAAATTAAAATTTATTCTCATTAATCTATAAATTTACATCTACGTATTATAGATTTGTTTATTAGCTTTATATCATTTTTACCATTTCTTTACAAAACTTATTTGAAGGATCCGAGCCAATTAAGTACCTTGTAGATCTTTCAATTCTTACTATACTCTTCATACGTATTGACTGAAAAATTGATACCGCATTACTTGAAAATGCTGTTGAAAAATTCAATCTATATACAAATAAACACCAATTAATTAGTAATTAAATTATCATTAAGTGAAAAAACATATAATATTACTTACTTTGGTCCAATTTCAATTACATTTTCATTATCCTCAAATGCACTTGAATCTAACAGTTGGTCGGGCTCAAATGGTTTAGATAAAATCCATTTTATTATATTAATTTTTATTTTATTTAATGAACTATCGCACTCAATATAGTAACATAATTCTACACCATTAATTTGAACCCCTTTTTCTTTAACATTTTCCAATTTTTTTTTTAATAAATTAGAATCTAGGCTTTGCTTCTGATAAAACTTTAAAATTACCATTTCGAAAAATTGATTTACAATTAACTTACATTCAAAAATTAATTGTAGCTCATAAAAAGCTTAAATACTTTTAATGTTTAAATTTTAAAAGATCCCTCACGTTTTCGATTTTCGCAACTTATGAAAGATATAAGTAGTATTTGTTTGTAGATATAATCATTCCACTTATCGTCTACTCAATACACAATTTTGTAATAATACATTTGTTTCTTGATTATTTTCATATAAAAATAAAAATAAAAATACTAGTTTTCTTTCTTATAAACTTCGTAAGAATACAATATCTTGTGACCTTTGTTGACCTATCGTTGTAAGCTACAATAATTCTTTTTCATAAGTGTATGCGTTCTTCGAACACAGTACTATTTAATTCCATATAAATTCAAATTTAATTAGATGCGCAATAACAATAGTAAACGATTGAAATTCCCTATGGTGTTAATTATTTGTATTATTAAACAATTTTAATATGAAAACAGTATATTACGCGGAATAGAAAAAAGCAATGTCATAATGTAAAATTGAATAAAAAAAAATGTCAAGTATTAAAAGAATGGAAGATTGATTCTATGACATCTAGAAAACAATAAAATCTAGTTAATCTGAAAATTACATAAAAATTCATTTATGCATTTTTTAATTCATATAAATGCCTTGATACAAGTAATGAAATTTGAGTGGCTAACCAGGCAGGTAATAATATATTTATATATATATCACGGGCGCGCGCGCGCACACACGCACGCGGGCGCGCGCGCGCGCCACGTATATATAAACATATGATAAATTATGAGGATTTTAACCTGTTGGTCATAGAAGATTATTGACAAATTGAGCAAAAATTACAACTTCATCCTATTTTATATTGACTTTATTTAATAAACAAATATGTTTCAACGTTTTTTAAATCATAATATAAACAAATATCAATTAATTACATTATCGTCATTTTTATGAGAAAGGAAATAAATAATAAATATTTCAGCATTTCACATTATTTAGTATATTGCTACATTATTCAATTTCTTTATTTATTTTCGTTTTAAATTATTAATTTTTGGAGTTATGGTTTATTAAAATAATTAATAAAATAATATGTATTAGAAGAAAAAAAGTTTATTTAATTAAAGCGCATGTGCAATGTAGTAATAGAACAATACGCATGCGTAATTATAAACTTTAAAATTGTATATTTTAAATATGGTAGCTTTGTAGATATTAAAAATTAAATTCGTAGATAGCAATAATAATAGGAAATTGGAAGAAATGTTACTTAATAAATATTTATTAGAATTTCAATAATTAATCAATGTATTCAAATTATTTTTTATTTTTTTTTTTTATTACGATAGGAATTGATTTACATTCATTTTAATTTTGTAGATTACTTTACAAATAATTAAAATAATATTATCTTACTACATTGATAATTATAAACATTGAATTATAGGAATTAATTGTTTATGCGGTTTTTAATGTAATATTCATCTGCATACTTGTAATTAATAAAATTAAATGTTTTAAAAGTTTTAAACTATTGTTTGTTTGCACGAACGTATTTCTACTTCTTATAGATTCGTTTTAATTTCTTTACCTGCTATTTTTTACAATTTAAATGTGAATCTTTATACGATGATGAATACATATAATAATATAGATTTGTTATTGTTTTGTAGATAAATATATATTAAAATTATCGAAAAAACAGACGTCAAAGAGACAACGAAAAGTTGTACATTTTGCTTTTAATGATTTTCTAGTCGTTTTGCTTGTTAAATAGTTGATTGCCAGATGCCACGTTCAATATTGATTCTAATGATTAAATTGAAACTATTGCAATAATGAGAATAATATATTATTTATTAAGATCTGTAAAATGATGGGAGAAACAGTTTTCGATTGAAACTATTTAGCTGAAGAATACTGTAAACGAATAGATTTAATAAACAATTTTAAACATTTTATTTTTCAATTACAAACTTCGAGAACAGCATCATTACATTTTTCAAAAATAATATTAAGGTAGTGATTGTATTAGACACTCGATTCATAAATAATAATCTGCACGATAGATTTTCTTGGCTTCAATCCGGACTCGGGGTGAGAATCTTGTTGATTATGTGAGCCAGCGATGTCACGAAGAATAGCTTCGACCGCTTCCTCCCATTCGGTATCTTTCAAATCACGATTTCCCATATCACTTTTCCTTCGTCGAGGCATTGAGATGACTTTTAACACTCGTCTAAAAAGTATATACAATTTTAATTGTAAATCAGAAATTGGTAACGGGGCAGGGCGTAAAAGTCATTCGTGACATTTCCTATACTTGAAATCTTTAAAGTGACAGCAGACGCTTACTTGAGATCTATTTGTAATGCTGACATATCTCCACCGGCTTGTTCACCGAGTTTTCGCAAGGTATCGGCAAGAGGTCCACTTAAAGCTTGTAGTCTTTTCCACGAATGAGCATATTGTCGACGCACCAGCTCGATAATTGTGCTGGTTAATGCGAGACCAACCAGAATATAACCAGTGCAGAATAGCATGTATTTTGGATTGGCTAGATAAAATAACAAATTTTCAATAAGAATTTTATTATTTTCAAAATCGCTATGCTCATAGTTTGGCACGATGTCCGAGAAGATATGAGAAATCATTAATCTATTAAATACACGTGTAAAGCTCAAATAGATATTTTTATTTTATTCATATATATATATATATATATATATATTTTTTTTTTTTTATATAAAAATACTTAGGATTCACGATGTTTTAAAATCAATTTTTCAGCATATAAGTATAATGTAACGTATTTATGACTTTTAAATGCTAATGATATCGAGATTTGGTATTACTAATATTAATATTTAATACCTTAAAAACGTTATTAAATTAAAGGACTTTTAAGGCATTGTAGTACACAATAATTTTTCAGGTAAATCGAATATGATGAAGTAACGATTTGACTAAGAAAATCATTGAGTTGATTTAATAAAAATGAAATTACATCACGCTCTAAATAAATTAATCGAACGGCTGTGTCGATTGGTTTTAATATTCATTAGAAAATTCTTTCGTAGAATATGTATAGACGTAGACGTAGAATATGAATTTAAATCAAACTTGCTGGATCAAGGCATTAAGGTTAGAGAATTCCAATTATTACGAGTCGTCAACGTTCCAAAGGACCCACAAACACGGCATATCAATTATTAACGATTTGAATAGTTGAATTTGAATTTTTACCCACTTGGAACAACATCGCCAAATCCAATGGTAGTCATCGTGACGAAGCAAAAGTAAAATCCTTCGAAGAAGGTCCAATGAGTCTCCCAGAGCATAAATAATGCGGCGCCACAAGCCAAATATAAGAAGAGCAAAACGACGGCGACGAGGGCGCCTAAACAACATCCGCCAATTAATATCAGTTTCATTTAATCGTGAGTAATTAAAGCGATAATAATACTCGGCTACCTAGAGATTTTTTGTGGGCATGATTCGTGGGCATACACGACATCAAACCCTTAGGGAGCTTCGACCTTATCCTCAGGGCCACGGAACTCACGCCTCCGGCGAACAATTTGCCGTAGTCCGCGATCACCGTGAGCGTCAGCGGGATGCCGATCAGGGCGAATAGGATACAGAATACCCTCCCGAGAAAGGTCGAGGGGAAGACGTTGCCGTAGCCTGTGAGCATTGACATTGACTGAATTTGGAGTGATTATATTATGGGTATTTGACAGATGCGCTGATTTTCAAGGGACTTTTATTCTATCTTTTCAGTCTGCTTTTACCAAGTAAAATCATTCGCAAGTTATCTTTTCTTAACAAAAAAAAAAAAAAAAAAAAAAAAAAAAAAAAAAATTCTATAATATCAGTACGTTTTCAGCCGCTCGGTACTTTGTTCCTTGCAAAATTTAAACGAACGGCTGTCTTAGCTTTGCATTTTATGCCTGATAAAAGTGCGCGAAGGACGTGAGCGACACTCCGTAATAATTATCTCGGGGAATTCGGCATTATTATTATTATTATTATTATTCTGGTATTCACGACTCGCGAAGGAAATAATGGAAACAAAAGAGTTGACGGCTCCAAGCCCATTGATAAGAGCAGAGGACCTAATCACGGCGTCTGACGATTTTGAACTCGCGGATTACGACACTTTTGTGCTCGCTGTGTGACGGTGTGAGGGAAAGTTTTTTTTTTCTTCTTTTTCTTTGGTGAATAGAGCGTGAAATTGTTTGTCCCACCGATGGTCGTCAAGATTGTGCTGGCGAAGAAAACGGCCTGGAGTACGCTCCACCTGTCCGCGAATAGCACAGGCTCCGTTTTTAATTTTTCATCCTCGGTTGCTGCGAGCCTCGGGATGAGCTCCATTGAAAGTCCAGACCGCGTCGCCTCCTGGACTGCGAGCTCGTACGGTCGGAGTGCTACGCTCTCCTGTTCAGAATCGTTGGAACTAATAAGCGTGGATACTTGCAAAGTTTGCTTTGAATGAACATTTACCGCTATGTTTATCGGGGGTAGGTTATTTACATGAAAAGTCAGAGTTATCGTTCATATGAAAATTTCGATGTTTAAAAATATGATAATAACTTGGCGATTTTACCCATTCCGATAAATTTTTTATATTTGTGTTGTTAATGGAAGTAATTAATTCCTCTCTTTTGAGCAGCAGTATCGTTTTCATTTCACTCAGTCTCTCGAATTCGGCTGGCAGTTCTAAACTTCTGAACACCTGCAATAATTACAAACAAGCAAGTAATTAAAAACAAGCTTAAAGAATTTTCCCCTACAAATTAATTACATATTAATAAGTGTTTCAAAATGTAACCAATTCTACATTGCCAATGTAAATAATAGAGAAAATTCATGTTGTATAGATATATGTTCTTATAATACAAGACGTTTAAAATAATACTGAACGAACTTATCTAAAATTCGTGAAATATTTATTTTGGAGGCGAGGGAATAATTTTACATGAAAATTTAAAGCTTTTCCAGTTATGTTCGCGAACGTGTAGCCGGGAATATTTGATTCTTTGTTCGTATACTTAGCTTTACTTCTCGTATCAACATCATAAAATATTTTTGATCGGTACTTGCACTTGCTCCAATTCGAGCGCAACGAGCTTTTTGAGCTTCAAAAGCGACATAACGTGTTGACTAAACAAAAGATCTCGCAATCGTTACAATCCGACGCCTTTCGCTTATAAAAACACATACGTTCTCTCTCTCTCTCTCTCTCTCTTTCTTGTTCTCTCTATTTCTATTCATTCTTCTTTGCCTATCTTGCACCCACGCAAGTGTCAGAGATAATTAATAACGTCGTACTGTCAACGTTAAAAAGTGCCGCCGTCTTGATTGTGTGTGTGTGTGTGTGTGTTTTTTTTTTTTTTTTTTTTTTTTTGTAAACTTTTACGCATCATTATTTAAATAAATCCTATAAGCACGTCTCATTTTGGTCTTGTAGCTTTTTTGTATAAAGGATTATATTAAGAAAAGTTAATTGCCTAAATACAAAAATAAATTTAAGTATGAAAATGAACTTAATATATGAAAATGAAAGGAGTTAATTGTTATTTTAGATAATTCTATTCCTCCTTATTATTAAATATCCTGAGTATATTTTGGGAATATAATTCTGTAAAACAACATTGAATTAACATTAAAACGTTAGCGTTTACATACTTATCAAATACATATACCGGCAATGAAAATATTGTTACGAATAATAATAATAATAACAATAATAATAATAATAATAATAATAATAATAATAATAATAATAATAATAATAACAATAATAGTAATAATAATAATAGTAGTAGTAATAATAATAATATATACGATGCTATTGTTTAAAAATTAGCAATTATAAACTGCGATGAATGAAAATGAAAGCTTTTATTCAATATGATAATATTTTTTAAAGCGTCTAATTAAATGTCAGTACAAAAGAAGAATTGTAGGATTTGCGGATTTGCATTTCGAATGAATAAGCACACAAGATCTGTGAACTCAATTATTTATTATTATTTTAGAGATTATTTGATGAAAAAATATTTATAGAGTGCCATGAGGCTAATTTCTTTAACTGATTCGAAGTGCCATGCGGTTTGATTGCTTTTACTGCCGTTGCTCCTGTTGCTACTGCCCGGATCCGAGAATATCGATGATTCGACACATCAAACGCCCCCAACATCATCTACACAACTTTTAACGTTTAAATACAAACGCTGGGAATGCTTTCGTTAATGCACGTTCACAGGATTTTACTGGGCTTATTATGAAGCTATTAAATTTTATATTACCATTAAGCTTGGAATAATGCTACTTAAAGTTCACCTAGATGAGATTTTGAGAAAATAATCAGCCATCGCCGGCAGAAAATGCATTTATCTCAGAAGTGTCATTTATTTAGAGGATTAATAAATCATCAAATCGTTGAAGGACTCGAACGATTATTATCAGCGCATTTATTATTGAATAATTTAATTAAACATTTATTTTTCATATCATTTACTTAGTTATTATGTGATTGATTGTAGTGTTCTTATAATTTACAAAATTAATAACTAAAAATTCTTATAATTATATATATAATTATAACGTAAGTAGTGCAATTATTTTATTTGTGTATAATATCAACATTCTCATCAAATGATATACTTGTCCTTTATAGTGTATGGAGCAAGTTAAATTAAATGTTATCCTTGAAAGATCACGATAATATTGTTGTGTGATTTTAAAACGATCGGCGACCGTTCAATCAATCGCGCAAATGTAAAGAAAGTTTTTTTTTTTTTTTTTTTGCTACATTAATGCATATTAGTTAAGATAAAATATAAATCTTATGATTCGCAATTAAAAGTACTAATTATATATTACGGTGCTTTAATGTAGTAAAAAAATTTGTTGAAAGCTCGTAAATATTATCTATAAAGAAGCAGAGGAAAAAAAAATATTGCAGAAAGTTCTTTACGAAACTATTTGTGATTTGTGATCCGACACTTTTGTTTCTTTTTAAAAACAAATTTCTTAAAATGTGATTCTGAGACATAACAAAAATAGTAACGGAAGCTCACATATTCACAAATATCGTGTGTTATATATGAGAAGTCGTAAAAGTAGGACGTATATAAATATCATAAGAATGAAAAAATATATTTGTTTCTTACTTTCTTATTACTATTGGACATTTAATTATATCTGGACTAAATTTGTTTAGAAAGTCGTTGGATGAGATATTAATTTTATTTATAACCGTGCATACCGGAGTTCTATAACTTTATTAAAATTGTATGATTATATCTGAAATTGTAATGATTCTAATATTATTGCATTATAAGAAGTTAATTTTGTCTTTTTTTTATTGATAATACGAATTCTTTACTATTCTTTAAATAAGACATATTGTTTTAATATACGATATGTGGAAAAGATAATATTGTTATCTATATTTATTAAAATCTGGATATCAAAATATTATTTTCATAATAGGCTTGTGAGAATTAAGTTTTCTTTTGTTACTTATTTTAATTGTAATGTTTTTTACATTTCAGAATTCAAGATTGAATCATCGAAACATTTATTGTAACACGTTTTGTATGCAATATTGTCGTGAAATTTCAATCTAATATTTTAGTTCATTTTCAACGGAATTCAAAAAAAAAAAAAAAAAAAATTAATTCGATAATTTTTTCATTTAATTTGATCATTAAATATTTATACTTTATTTTTAAGTTGGATATTATTTTCTACTATCATATATTCAAAGAGAATTAGATTTTAACTATGTTGATATATTTAAATAATAAAAGCTATTTAATAATCGAGGTTTACAGATTTGATGCAACTAAAAAGTTGTAAAATATGAAAATCAAATGCACGAATTGTTGAAAAAATGACTAAATTATTTGAAAAAAAATTTATAATTATGTAAGGTAAAGGTTTACTAATTATCGTTATGATAGTAAAAAAAATATTTCAAGTATGTTTCTTTGATTTAGTTTAAATGATTGTATATTTATTCCAATTTTTAATTAATCGAATATCGTAAAAAAGCATAAATTATATCTTGTTCTTTACTATATTATTATAATATACAGCTTATTATAATATTTAGTTGGCAATTAATTTTTTCTATTAATATCAATAGTTTTTTCAATTATGTGATTTCATGTTATATCAATTAGGAAACTATAACTCTTATGTATAAAAATATAAATATCAGATTTTTGCATTAACGATGAAGTATGTTAATATTTAATGGATTATACGATATATGTATTATGATAATTATTAATTACATTCTATTACCGAAGTTCAAAAAAATCGAGAAAATATTGAAGCATTTGCGAATATTATAATATTATTTATCGTATTGATATAGTTTGTTTTAATGCCAAACTATTTGCTTTTTGTATATTTGTATTGTAATGTGTACATTGTTGATTTAAAATGTGACATTTTTTATTAAAATCCTTTTGAAATTATTAATCAAGTATGAAATTTCGTATTTAATATTTATAGAAAGTTGTATATCTATATTTGTGACTGTTTACTCATTATAATTTAAAAATTGATTATGTATAACAGTAATAGGTGATTTATGTGCAATAATGTACCATTTTGAAAATGAAATGTAGATTATCTGTAGAAATATCAATAAATCTGTAGATTAAACGAGTTTTCCTTAATCGTTCATTCCGTAAATTTTTCATTAAAATTGCAATATCTCTCCTTTCCCAAAATATAACTATTATTTTACATAATTTTAACATTTATTATCGTAACAATATGGATATATTTTACACTTGATTGATATAATTATTATATTATATCGTATGTGAGGTAGTGCTTACGCGTAAACTGATTTATTGGCTTTAGTTCTTATAAGTATTGCACGATGAATTATAAAATGTGTACACGTCGTAATTATAAAATTCAATTAGCATTATAAACGTTCAGCTTCTATCTTCCGATTGAATAATTCATCCGAGAATAATGGAAGCGCGCACACTCGTGCTTACTTTCGAGATACAATTAAAAGATCGTCACATACAATTTTGTTCAATAATAACATTTCAATTATTGTGTTGAATATGGGCAGGAGAAAAAGAAAATAATCTTACCAGTCCTCCAATAAGAGTATAAATCATTAAAGTTACTAATAAACCAACGTGACTAGCTATAGACTTAATTTTAATTAATGTCTTGTAAGACAAATATTTTGGTTTGTTCGCACTGCCTTCGTTTAACTGTTTTTTTTCCTCGTTTGACATTCTAGCCCAAATAGATACTAAACGTACAAGATTTCACGTACCCGAATATTTATATTTATAAAAAAAAAAAAAATATATATATATATATATATCTATATATATATATATATATATATATATATATATATATATATATATCAGGCGATCAATATCATCACTTTACCTTCCGTTTCTCGACTTTAATAAACGTTTAATCGTGACTTTACAACAAATAAAAGGAGAACAAGAGGGAGGCGTAAAAAATCCCATAATCTTAGATAAAACCGTATTTAACGAATAGTAGGAATTATTTATAGAAAAGTGAATTATTTATCGCTCCTTAAGCTTAAGTCATTGTTTATTATAACGCAAGCGCAACCGAGTGAATTTGCCGAGGAGCCTTTGAGTGATAATCGGCACGATCGAGCAAGTGGTTAACGAGCGACTAACCGAGAGATTTTGGAGATGAGGGATCCCGGAGTATCTCGGGCTCGCATTCAAATCGGCGCCAGCGCAGTCACGCGTGGCGGCTTCGAGTGAGTCAAACGAGGCTCTACATTACCCAAAACTACTTTTCCTTCAATCTCTTACGAGCCGAGCGACCATCCTCCACACTCCTCCCCTCGTAAAATCATCCTCACGGTCTTTCGCCTCGGCATTTATTTCGCATAAAATGATGTCAGGAGAGGCTGAATTGGTAAGAGTATCGAATGGGTTTGACGAACGTAGTCGTGGGAAGTGGGTGTCGCTGTCTAGCCGACGTCACGTATCTACTGATCTTCGTTGCTCGCTGGCAATCCGTTAGTCGGGCTGACGGTCCAGGACTTTTCTCGTTTATTGCTTCGTTAAGTTGGCACTGGCAAGTGGGCCGTGTTTTAGCAGCGTTAAGCGTTTTGTTCGGCTGATTTCTGTTACGGGCTGTCGAGGCAGCTTTATTTCGTTCCCATAGTCAGATATGTGTAAGTACATTTTTTTCTAGCTGCTAGAGCCTCGGCTTCTCGTTCCCGTGCTGGGCCGGGGGCGAAGAAAATCCTCTCGGCATTTTCTTAGGACGGGAGAAATAGTTCTATCAGATCGATAATATAGCGGACCGTTTGACAAAGGCCGGAACGACTCTTGCGCTTCGAGATGACATTTACGGAGTAGGGCGTACCGATGTATTTCGGATGCCAATTTAATGGTAATTGCAGGCTCGATTATATATTGTATTGTCGAGATTTTATGGCGCCGCTTTGGATTGTTGCTTCGTACGGGGGATCGCGGGAATTCGATCTTCCCTTCTTATCGTGATTTAAGCTCGGAAAATCATTTACCACAATTTCCATTTGATTTGGTCATTTTTTTTTTTTTTTTTTATCAGATTAAACCGAGCCGATTTAACATGTTTGCTCTTATCGCTTTTCATTCCAAGATGTAGGCAATTTCACTTCACTTTAGCTGACTACTTATTTGCACTGATTTCTTCATAGCTATTAATAGCCATTAAAGATATGATATTATCATTAAATGCAATTCAGAGGAGAAGAGTAGTATAGTTGCTTTCACAATTATCCAATCAAACCCAGTTTTATATGTGTAAGTTAATATTTGGGTGATATTTTATATGCTGTTGTACACTTACTGTTGTACAGTTAACTAGTCAATGATTTTACAAATAAAATGTCGGGATTTCAATTAATCTTGATTCAATTCTAGTTAATTTTAGACCATTTTCAGATAGTAGAAGAAATATTCTTGTATTATTAGGGAAAATTTGCAAATTGTCATTCATACAATTTATTATTATTGTATTATTTTTTTTAATTACAGATTTACAATAGATTATTACATTTACCAAAATGATAGGTGGTTTGTTTGTTTATAACCACAAGGGAGAAGTCCTTATATCCAGAGTGTATAGAGATGACATTGGACGCAATGCCGTGGATGCATTTCGCGTCAATGTTATCCATGCGAGACAACAGGTACGATCACCAGTAACAAACATTGCCAGAACCTCGTTTTTTCATATCAAGAGAGCCAACGTTTGGCTCGCCGCTGTCACAAAGCAAAATGTCAATGCTGCCATGGTATTTGAATTTCTTCTTAAAATTATCGAAGTCATGCAGTCATACTTCGGTAAAGTTTCAGAGGAGAATATTAAAAATAATTTTGTTTTGATTTACGAGCTTCTCGATGGTAAGAAAGAATTTCATTTCCAATTATGTTTTGACTGAAATTTTTGATAACTTTTATAATGCTAAAACACAATATGCTTTTCTCTTTAAGGCAAGACAATTTCGTTGAGCTTTATTATTATTGATTAAAATTAATTGAGCTTTATTAATAAATAAAAATGAAAAATTTTTTTATTCAAAAGTATTATTCGAAAGTACATTTTATAATTATTCTATTATGTGTTCTATTATGTTTATTTGTTTATCTATTATATTTATTTTATTATTCTATTATGTTTCAATGTTTGATTAGATTTCTTTTGTAATGTATTAAAAAATCTTTAAGATAATTCTACAATTTCTAAGCGCAAGTAGAATTACGTAAAAGTTTTAATGAACGAATGGTATTATTTAATTTTTATAGTTATAATCGGATAATAATTTTTGACAATATATTAATGTTTATAAACTTTGTTTATTACAGTATGTTTTATTACAGTGGATTTAATTTTTTGTTATAAGCTATTTTTAAGTTAGCTAATTGTTTTATGTTATTGAAATTTTTATCTTAAATTATGTTACTTTGTTTCAGAAATTCTTGACTTTGGTTATCCTCAAAACTGCGACACCGGAGTTTTGAAGACTTTTATTACTCAACAAGGTGTAAAATCTGCAACAAAAGAAGAACAAGCGCAAATAACCTCGCAAGTTACAGGACAAATTGGATGGAGAAGAGAAGGCATTAAATATCGTCGCAATGAACTTTTCTTAGATGTATTAGAATATGTTAATTTATTGATGAGCCCACAAGGACAAGTACTCAGTGCCCATGTTGCTGGGAAGGTTAGTACTTTTTAAAATTAATATGTCATTCATTGCTATTTGTAAATTGATTTAGCTCAAATTGTTAATTCGATCGTAGGTAGTAATGAAGTCATATTTGTCGGGTATGCCCGAGTGTAAATTTGGAATTAACGATAAAATAGTGATGGAGTCCAAAGGCACGAAAGGTGGTGGAGGATTGGGAAACGTCAACGATGATACTACTGGTTGTCGTGCTGGTAAACCCGTTGTTGTAATCGACGATTGCCAGTTTCACCAGTGCGTTAAACTTTCCAAATTTGAGACAGAACATTCTATTAGTTTTATACCGCCGGATGGAGAATTCGAATTAATGAGGTAAACTGCTCTTTAAACGTTCGATTAAGAATTGCTTTTATTATTATTATTATTATTATTATTATTATACTTTTGCGTATATTTTGCTGCTATGGCTAAGTAAGATAAATTTTTATTAATAATGTGACGAGGAAAGTGTAATTTTCATCAATAGGTACCGAACAACGAAAGATATTTCATTACCTTTCCGTGTGATTCCGTTAGTCAGAGAAGTTGGACGTACTAAAATGGAAGTAAAAGCTGTGCTTAAGTCAAATTTTAAGCCATCTCTGCTGGGACAGAAAATTGAAGTACGCGTGCCAACGCCATTAAATACAGCCGGAGTACAATTGATCTGCTTAAAAGGGAAAGCGAAATACAAGCCTGCGGAAAATGCGATTATATGGAAAATCAAACGTATGGCGGGCATGAAGGAGACTCAGCTTTCGGCTGAAATTGATTTGCTAGATACTGACACAAAGAAAAAATGGACTCGCCCTCCTATATCCATGAACTTTGAGGTACCTTTTGCTCCATCAGGTTTCAAGGTTCGATATTTAAAAGTTTTTGAATCGAAGTTAAACTATTCCGATCACGATGTAATTAAATGGGTCAGGTACATTGGCCGAAGTGGTCTCTACGAGACAAGATGCTAATACTCCGAATGATTCGTTAATAGTAAGCGAGTAATCTCAATACAAAAAATGAAATATGGTTTTGCTATGATTATGTAAGCTTGTAAAAGCAAGTCCGGAATTATCATTGTATCTTATTTCATAAAAGAATGTATGCTTAACATTGATGCCGTAGAGATATGCACTTATAGTTAATAGTTTTACTTTGCTTTAAGCGGGAAATTAATTAGAAAAGAAAATGTAATATTTTTGAGATTATGTTTCAATATGACCAAGACAAACAGCTATTAAGAAAATATTAGCTGAATAGTTATTAAGTTGTATGTATTTTGTAACATCGGATGTAACTCTTGATAGTAACTGTTACTGAATTTTTCAATATGAGGATGTTTGTTAGGTGTGGCTCTCTGTCGAATAAAGGGTGAGGTTTTTGTCTCTTCAGCATCATTGTTTTGCCCAATATTGACCATATAATCGACATTACCTGTGATTCATTGACACAAATTTCATGACAGTGATTCTGTAGACGATTAAAAACGATTATAAAAACCAAAATATATGGAAAGTAACTTTGTTATGGGAATATAGTTTGTTCGAGTTTTATCGAGTAAAAACAAGATTTGTCTGTATATCAAAGGCCATATTATGTATGTTGAAATACATGTGGAAACGATAGAAATATCTTGTTTCTTTGCATAGAAATATAAACAAAACCTTTGAGATCTGAAAGAATTGAAATAAATGAAATTATGAGGTAGTTATTAATTAATTTACAAATTTCATTGAACAGAACGTTAAGTATTAAGGTTTCGCATTGAAGATTGAAAGATAAGTAATGGTATTTATCTAAAGTAACAAATATTCATCGTCAAATTCATTGCTATCACTGAGCATTGGCTTATATAAGAATATGATTGAGATTACATATCTAATAGTATTTGAAAAAGTGATATGCATTCATTCAAAGATCTTTGCTTAAAATTAATTTTTTAATTTTTGCATTGAATTTCATTTTGTATTATTTTTAGTATACTTATGTAATAAATTAATAAAAGTTGATGTTTAAATAAAAATATAAAATGCTTAATAATTTGGAAGTTTGGAATTATTTAAGTGATAAATCGGCTATTTCTACCCTGTGAATTCTATCGTCATTATATTATTAAACACAATTGCACGATTACAACATCTTTTCATACCAATGAGCTCGTTATTACAATATTTACAATGACACAACGACAATTATGGTATTTAATTATTCTATTGTTGTTTTGTTTTGTTAATTCGAATATAGCTTTTATAATCATAAAATAATACAGCATAAAATAATTGAACGATCCGAGCATTTAATAGTTGTCGGTACGAGAAAGTGAAATAATACGTAATGTTTAAAAGTAGTATTTAATTGCCCTTAGTGAACCGTGTCGAGTATTTCTTGGCGAATTAACAGCGAAAAAAGCTCCCTCGACCACTTGGGTTCAACGACATTGTTAAGAAGAAAATAACGAAGTCGACTCTGCGAGTAAAAAATTTCTTTTCTTAACCATCTACTACAGACCCTCATAGGGGGCAATTGGAACTTTGCTCGGGTAGTTGGCTACCCGACGGCAAAAATACGGTTAATTTCCGTCTCTACCCCGTAGGCAATCAGCCGCCTCTATTATCCTCGAGCGTGGCACGAGCCATTGAGCAAAAAGGATCAAGGAGCAACAGCTAGTCAACATGCGCGCGCCCGCGACTCTTACCACATTCGCAAGTGTAACCTACATACGTCAGCGGAGTACGCGCGTGCGTCTTCCGCTACAGCGCATGCGATTAAAGCGCTCTCCTTCCTTCTCTCTCTCTCCCTCTCAATCACACTCATGCACGCGCGCGCGCGCGCGCGCACACACACACACACACACACACACACACACGTACGTACACACATATGCACTCTCTCATTCTCTCCACTTCTCTGTCTGTTTCGCATTTTACGTGCACCGCGTACGAGAATCGTTTGTCGCGCGGCCGCTCATCTGTCATGGATCTCGCGAACATTTCGCGCTCGCGAAACGCTCCGGTCGACATTCAGCGCGGCGCCTCCTCGAGAGGTTAAGTTGTTTTTTCGTACTTGGTTGCGCGTAACGCGAATAACTTTGCGAGCGAGTGAAAGCGCGCGCAGCCGTGTGGGAGGGAGTAAGAGAGAGAATGGATAGATAGATGGATGGATGGATAAATAGTGAGAGATAGCGCGATATATAGATAGATAGGTAGAGAGAGAGAGAGAGAGAGAGAGAGAGAGAGAGAGAGAGAGAGAGGTGCGAGGTTTTTAATGTCAGCTGGCTCGGGGTCGAGCAGTTGTCCCAGAAGGCAAACTTCCGAGGATGCGACGTCCACGAGCTTCGCGCCGTCGACAAGTACGACGGGCTGAGGGAGATCTCTTATACGTGAGTATATAGCACCCGCACGTACATTGGTGTCGTTCGATTTTTCAAGCCCTACCGCGGCTACACGCGTCCTCGTCATTCGACCCTGCCAACCCCGCTACGTAATCCTCCCAAGCCCTTCGCGAAGTTCCCGGGCTACGAGCGAGACGGAAATACGTACACGTGAAGCACTATCTCGTCACCACACACTACCACGACGGATAGCACCACCATCCCGACCACCACCACCACCACTACAATCACTACTACCACTACTACCACTACTACCACTACTACCAGTACTACTACGACCACGACCACGACCACGACCACGACAACGACCACGACGACGACCACGATCACGACCACCACCACCAGCAACAGCAGCACCACCTACGGTGCGATAGACGAGAGGAATGCCAGTGCGTGACCGGAATCCGCGACGTTATGCCGACGGTGGCGAGCCCGGGTGTGCGCCGGCCACGCCGATGACGACGAGGCGCCAAGGAGGCGACGCAGCTCATCGCTAAGACCTGGACACTGAGCCGAGTGTCGGGAGCGGCAGGGATATAGACAGGAGAGCGAGCGCGAAGAGAAAGAACGAGGGAGAGGGATGAGATATGGTAGGGGGAAGAAAGAGAGGGCCGGGGTGGAGTTACTAATGTAACTCACCTTCTGCGCTCTCCACTTTCATCTGTGTGTAATGACGCTATTTTCGAGCTCCTGTTGTGATTATGCGGCTTCTGTTTAGCTTGTAACACACGCCGCTACGCGAATCTTATGAATGTTTTATGTCGCTGTTTAAACCCTTTTTCCTCTCGCGGTAGGCACGAATTGCATTGCATTTGAAATTAGCAGTTTATGCCCATCGTCAACCCTTACCTCCCTGTATGTTCTTTTTTTTCTCTCTCTCTCTCTCTCTTTCTTGTATTTCAGAGTCGGGCTGACTTGTCGCCCTCGTTTAATGTTAACCTTACAGTCATTGGCCTAGAGTATGTTTGCCTCTGTGTTTCCTATTGAATTTGTTAATATTTTTTAATGTGTAGGAGCATAAAAAACGTAATTTGCTGCATATGCGATGTACGAGAGATAGGCGAGTCATGTTGCTTGCTACGTATTCCCTTATATTTTCCTTCTTTCTTTCTTTATATGTTATTGATAATCATCTATATCTTACATGACTTGTAATGACACCAGCAATATCAAATCGAATAAGTACGAAGGAGATATTGTCATTAGAGCTCCCGTATTACCGTTTGAAATATAGAAAGTGCCGTAGCCTTAGATCATACTGAACAAACAAACACAAATACATAAATATATAGTATAACTGTTTTCACTAATATTTATTACTTACGCATAGAGGAAGAATTTGCGGATAAAGTAAAATTTGTAGTACGGTGTTTTCTCTCTCTCTCTCTCTCTCTCTCTCTCTCTCTCTCTCTCTCTCTCTCTCTCTTATAAAGGATCTCGTACATCTCGTACATCATGTATTATCGGTCATCATTATAAAAAGGAAATTATTATGGCAAACGAGTGTTAAAATATTAAAAGAATAATTTTCAATATGCCAATTCGATATGTTAATTTTACCGTGAATTATTTCATTCTAATAAAAAGCAGTAGACCGATAATGCAAACGAGGCAATTACCAATTCAAAAATTATAATCGATATATAGAAATAATTGTTGGTATGCCACGATGTATAAACATTGAAATACAGTCGTCACGAATTAGAAATATAGGTATTTCAATATTATAATCTCGTTCTTGCATTCGTTTAATGAAATTTTTTATACTTTCATAGGCTAATGTAAGCGCTTTCAATGATTTAAAAATCCAATTGTATTGTGGGCTTAGCAATATTAAAATTAGGTCAATTCAATCATCTAGTGTATTAAGTGTAGAATAGAAGTAAAATGAATTTTTTTACGATATTTGATATGGATATTTCTTTCTTTCTTTCTTTCTTCTTTTTTTGCTCCCTTTTCCATTATTGTACACGCATTTTGCTTTTATATTTATCTTTGATTAAAGTTTGAAAATTTGTTATGATAGTTTTCCATAAGCGTTGTTGAGTTTTCTCATATATAAACTTTTCGTTAGCAATACTTTGCAATTTATTTTTCAATGTTTCATGCTTCACTGATATTTGAACATATCGTTTTCTCTTTTACACGTTGACTGTTTTGTTTACGCGTACTTCTTTAACGGCCTTACTTTTTTTTTTATTTATTTACGTGTTACCTTAATTCATCATTGTTGTAATTTTCTCTTTCTTTTTACTTTTTCTTTCTTTACATTGTGATTTTTCATTTTCAATGCAATCGCCAATGCTGCGTGTCATTTAATAGTCTGTGAATGATCGATCGCGCGAAAAAAATTCAAGTGTAATCTGTGCGAAATATTTATATACATCGTACATGTAAAAGACCAATATCTTGAATATATTTATGTATTATTAATTATCTCACTCTCCCCCCCCCCCCCCTCCCCCCCCCCCCCCAATCATCGAAACCCCACCAACAACCACCAAAATTCAATCTAATCGCGATCCATTCCCTCGTCCCGGATTCGCGAGACGACTTTCAAATCCCGTGGCGAGGATGCCGACGCTGCAAGTCACGCTGCAGGTCGTTTTCGCGTCCTTGTCCAACGGGGGAGTCGAGGAGCTCGGCTTCCCGACGCGAAGAGAAACCTGATATTGTAATTATAGACAATCCGGCCTAATTCTGCTGCTCTCTAAGCGTAAGAAAATCAAAGCGATAAGCTTATAAACATAATAATGGGCGCTAAGTTTATGAAATGCTACGATAACGGAGCCATTCAAGTAAAGCGTCCTGCGACTCCGTTATTTACATTTATTTATTTGTTAATAGGACGTTGCCTAGGATATTCACACCAACCTACGCGTCCTCCTTCCTTAATTTTTATCCGCGTCCGGGGATGGATCTTACATCATCCGCTCAAGTCCTCGAGTCGCGGGTCCTGGTTTGTACTTTTCGCCCATTGCCGTTGTTATTTCG